GTCAGATTGCATTCCATGTTTTAATCCAATCATTTGGAGGTCACAGCTCTGCTTCCCTCAGGTCGATATCGATCGACAAGACAGCAGTGATTCCACAACTTCTTAGAATCAGGGAGAGTTGCATTTCACCATAGACCCATTAAGCATTGTGCTTACCGCACTGCTGAGCGATAACCACATTAAGCATAAGGCTTCTTCAGTACCGACGTTTTGTTACCCAAACTTGGAGAACTGCTGACCGTATCTCTCTTGGACTTTGCTTCAGCAGGGACACTAAACTGTAGACCTCAATGAGAAGCAATTACTGTGAGGGAAACTCACCTTTAGGCCCCAGTTTGCAGTAAGCATATTAGGTTTCTTTCATCCATTGATGAAAATAGTGTTTTGTGTCCATGCTTGGTGGTTTCCTTAACGAGTTTTCTGTTTGATTAGTTCATGGAAACCCTGCAGCCAGTAGAAACTCTACACTACCTACAGTTGCAAACAAAAATGATTGTAAATTCTGGAATCAAATTTTGCCCCCCCCCCCAAGCTTAACATTTTAATCATTAATTGGTAAGGTGAATTTTCACATTGTCTATTGTTTAACCTTGATACCAGAATTAGCCAAAGCTGCATTGCGATCACAACTTCTAACTGACAAACCTCCTACTTACAAACTTGTATCATTCACAAGTACATGGCAAATACACTCGTGATACGATACGACTTGAATTGACACGGCATTGAAATGTGACCGCATCTAAAGATACTGTACGGTAACAGTGGGGGGGGGGGGTATTTGCTTTGTAACAGGCAGTCAATTGTAAGGAAAGGAAAAACTGAAACTCTTGAGTCCAGACCTAGGCAGGGAGTCGATAGCTCTGATATCAAGGGAAGGGAGTTCCAGACTAGGGGCAGCATAGGAGAATGGGCTACCTCCTCCTGAGCTAAGGATGACTGGGGGTTTTAACAAAAGGCCTTGGTTTCTGGTGCGGAGAGTTTGTGTCGAAGTAGAGCAATTTGATAGTGCAGAGGTAGACAGGGCCGAATCCCTGGTGGATCATGAAGATGGTGAGTGTGATCCTTAATTTAATTTGGAATTGGATTAGGATCCTGTGGAGGGATTGGGGTGATGTGGTCTCCGTTCAAGGTGAGAATTCTGGAATGTTGGTTCTTCTGGCAAACCTGCCCTTCATTCTGATGTTTCATGATCACTGGCAAGCCCAGTCCCATGGTACAGGTTCATCTATAGTCTGATGATCTTACCTGCAATATCGTAACAGTTGAGCATTTCCCATTCCTAGCTCTTCTCTGTTCGAGTTGTATGACAGTATACATCTCGTTTTACAATCTGTGCCGACTGCAAACATATACCATGGAGCGCCTTAGTCTTTGAATGTCAACAATATTTGGTATGCTTACAGTGGATGAGCAAAATATGATGATTCGTATAAGCAGGGAGTAGAGTAAACCCACTTCAGAATTGGACCGGTGGATTATCACTATAAGCAGGTTGAGGTAAATGAAATGGACGTGTACATTTACAACCCTTTTTATCTATCCATTGTTAGATTAGGGCCTACCAGCACCGTGTGGGTTCTGAGGGATATCTGACCACGCCTCCCCCACTGCTCCATCCGGGGTTGGTGAAGGTGGGGAGCATAGTACAGTGTCACAATAGATTTTGTTGCACTGACCTCTGTTACGCACAGCGCAGGCCCTGCAGCATGCGCAGGAGTGATCGCCCATCTGAGCACCGCCTATGCACCCACCCTGCTGTAGCTTCCGCCATTCGACTTGTCGGACGCTTTTAATTTGATTTGGTCCTAGATGGAGGAAATGTAACATGCTTTCAAAAACAGGAACAGCAGGAGATCTCTGTTTATTGAGCAGAATTGGCATGAAGCGTCATGCGAAGAATATGGGGTCATAGCCAGGTATGGGATAGCAACAGCACAAAGCATTTCGAGAAGGAGGAAGTCGTTGAGGTATGGCAAAGCTGGTTTGGTCAGCTATTGAGCGGGAGCTATGCAACCATTTGGAGAAGTATTTGTCGCATAAAAGGCAGACATTCTTAGAATGTGGAGGAAGACGCAGCCCGAGAAGAGGACGATTCAGCTGAAGTATGAGGCAGCAGGAGTGCCGTGTCACTGTAGAGATGTTGAGAGAGGGAGTGACGGTACCTTTACCGAAAGATCCAAAGAATAATAATATAACAATCATTTACTTATTTATCCGCGAGAGCCGCACTTGAATTGTGACCTTTTTAGGAGAGTTGCGTTTGGATTTTATTTTAAGATGTTTTTGGCTAATTCGTGAAGAGTGTTTATTCTACAAGTGGGAGGAAACTCCCCCCATACGCGCGCGAGGGAGCAACACTCCATACAGATGGAGAGAGAAGGTGATTAGTCCCACTTGCTGTACTGCCTTCTCCTGCCAAGTCAGGGTATGGCACCTCAACGTCTACCTGGAAGGGAGTTTCACGACATTGGTGCCGTTCGCCAACCCACACCTCCACGGTGCTGGATTTCAGGTGCTCTGTAGGCACCACCACCCAGCTCTCCACAAGATGAAGCTTCGTGAAGTAGCGCGAAGAGTTCTTATTGGTGTCTTACCATTTCATAAGCAGTGGGGTCTGGGGGAGGGGGGTGCAGCAAGATCAGTGGTTAGCGCAATGTGCTATGAATCCTATGATCCGTGATTCCTGGCTGTTATCAGTTGTGAGTTTTATCTAAACCTGCTCCCCCTTCACCAAACCGACATTGACCAGTGTGGTAAAGTCTGGTCAAACAACTCCCCATCACATAGGGATGTACGCGTACGTAAAATACACTCCCCATAAGATTGTAGAAAAAGAGTGTATAATCTCGGGTGATCATTTAATAGAGAATTTCAAGGAAGGAATTTAACGAAATTTTTCAAATATTTGTTACCGCCGTGTTGTAAGCAAGTGTCATATTACATTTACAAGGTGGAGAGGGAGGAAACCAAACATAACTGTCGGGTGTAAAGTACATGCCTCTTGCAACCGAGGAGATGTAGACGTTGGATATATTCTGCTACCCCCTATAAAAAAAAAGAATACAACGGCCCTTTTTACCGTGCGCGCGTATGGGGTGAGGTGGGGGGGGAGCGTGAAAAAAAAAGTATTTTCGGCCGGAAATTTGAGAGCCGGCCCAGACGGATTACAATCTGTGTACAGTGCTCGGTTTGAACACCGCGACACAGCCGTGTGTGTACGTGCGCGCGCCGTACGAGTGCGCGCTCATGGGTGACGCTCCATTTGGGGGCGGTTGCAAGCGCACAAGGGGTTCTTATCGGCACCTTTTACGATTTGGCGGTAGGTGTGAGGGTGGGTGTGGAGCAGCGCTGGGTTTTCCCTGCCTGGTGGATGAAGTCGACTTTGGATTGGGGTGGGTGCTAGCCGCGCTGGGCGTGGTGGAGAAGTGTAGGTTGTGTTTAGGAGGATTATCGTGTGATTGTTGCGTGTCAGTTTAACACCCCTCCCCTCTCTCCTTGCTGGGCTTCCACGATTCGGATACGCGATTCTATTAAAGAGTAGTTTTCATTTTTCGATTTAAAGCTTTCGTGACTGCAGGGATTCATCTTCTTGGTTTTTTCGGTAAGTCACGTAGAAGGGAAATAATAAAAATAAAACATAATAAAATAATTCTCACGACGTTTCGGCCACAACGCAAGCAGCCGTCCTCAGGTGAAGACCAGGTCTGTCGGGGAGACAGTTTTCAATTTGTATGTTTTTACTATCCCATTGGTGGTGTTTCGACTCAACCTCAAACGAGTACCTGGTGCGAAGTGTAAACATCGCCACTAGGGAGACAAAGGCGGCCGGGCTTGGTGTTAGCCTCTTCGTTTCTATCTTTGTCTTTTACCGTATTCGTTTCGCGGAATAATTTTCATGAAGCTGTGGTCTCGCTCGATTCTGTGCATCGTTTGTGGTGTAATTAACGTAATAATTTATGTTAATTTGCTATTGGATTTCATAGTTAAGTGCTATTTAAATTGTATAAACAAAGAAATACTGTTAGCTGAGTTCTACAAGCATGAAATTTGATTCGTGGCAGAACAGGGCAATTCACGAATTTTAAGGCAGTGATTATTTGTCCCATTTAACTTGGCAAACTGGTTATTACACCCTATTTGGTTGAACTTTGACTTCAAACTCTTTTGCCCAATTACAATTGTTTGCTTGGATATGCTGGATGTCACTAGCTGTGTTTACATTATAGTGGCATTGACATAATTGGGTAATGATTTAGCATCCCATGCATGCCTTGGCAGTCTTTAGGTTAATACAAACGCACAGAATACGAGCATACATGACTGTACATCACAGAAGCCTGTAATCGTGAACTGTGGAAGTGACTTCTGGGTGTCGCAGGTGTCAGAGCTGGCAATGTTGAGACTTGACCAGCGAGTCGACAGCACGGGTGGCTTGTGGAAGGGTGTTCAAGGCTATGGGGGGGGGGGGGGTAACGTTGGAGAACGAGCGACTTGCCACAGAGCATAGGTTGACTGGGGGCTCCGATAGTAAAGTGGCATATTACAGGTATGCCAGCGTATTACTGGTAGGAACCTCCTGGTTACACCAGCCCACAGGGGATTATTGTGTCTGTCCGTCGTGCATGCAAAAATGGGAGGGGAGGGGCTGGGTGGGGAGGTTTGGGCTGGGTGGGGAGGGGCTGGTCACCCCGTGGTGCCCTTATAAAACTCAACGTTTAACCTACTCACGCCGGCTTGTGCCCACCCTCACAGTCGACCATATTTGCGGAATACACCACGCCGCCGTTGACCCTGGCCCTTGACCGAGCAACCCAACGTTCCTACCAGCTCCCTCCGCAGGAATGTGTTTACAGTGATGCCATCACCTGGATGCTCATTCGTCATTGGTGTAGACTCGTGCAGCCCGTGTTTATTATTTGGCTTCTGTTGCTCGAGTTATTTACGTGCAAGAAAAGCATTGTTTTTAATGGACTGTGTGTTGCTCTGTTGTTTTGTAGGCGCGTGCACAAGAAGTTCCGGCCGACGTCTCCGTGTTTGTAGCAAGCGAAGATGCAGACGATAAAGTGCGTGGTGGTGGGTGATGGAGCTGTGGGTAAAACCTGCCTGCTCATCTCCTACACCACCAATAAGTTCCCTTCGGAGTACGTGCCAACGGTGAGTGTGCAATGACTTGGCGACCGCTTATCCCCAGCGTCTGGAGTCCGTTGTAGAGGTGGCCGAATAGCTGTCGGCAGCAGGGAGTTGATTAGAAATACACATTGGTGGTAATAGAGCACATTTAATGCGTAGATAACATGTTTCTGTGGATCCTGATTGGGGTAAGGGTGATGGGGCACTGATGAGACATTTAAAAAATTTTGTGATGTGCACACTTGTTAATTCGCCAGACTTCAGTGCCGTCACTGGAGTAGAAGATGGAGGTTTGCTCGGGTGTCATGTGTAAGTTGAGAGTGCGCTCATCATTGACGATCCAAGCCCTTTTGAGAGAGCCTGTGGTTCAAGTGAAGTCCTCTCCTACATCGCGGTCGTAGTGGCATTCCTGAAGAACACCGCATTTTAATAAATTCTAATGCAGAGTAAAGCGCAGTCCGTGATATCACGTAAGATGCGCACGCAGGCCACACACACTGAGGCGCGTGGGTATCATTTAGAAGCATCCAGAAGCATACCGCCTTGTGTGGCGCTACGCCTAGGTAGCCATACAACCGCTTATTGCTACTCGCGCGACATAGTTCTGTTCACTCGATTACGTTGTATCCAATTCACATTATAAAAATGTGTTACCTCATACATTCATGGCATTCTATCCAATTAGCGTTTTAAAAACACATGTTATAGGAGAACATCCTGTATACACGATTATTTCCTTGGTCACATCTTCCCATCATCAGGTGTCGGTCTATTCAAATATTTGCCTTTTACAACGGTGATTGGTGATAATGGTTTTTACCATTTGCGGGTAAAAATGAAACCTTTAACTTGGGCCCAACATGGTTCTTTTAGTTATGAAGTCCTGGAATATTTTAATGTTTACTCTGCTAATGGCGGTGCACTTTAGTAATTCCCCAAATAAATGTACCCGGTAGTGGATACACCACCGTGTTGACTCGCTGCAAACTCCTCCTGCGGAAAGTCCAGTGCCAAACACGATCGCATCCGTTCTTCTCCGTGTTATTATAATGCACTTGGTTCCATAAGAATGCATGCACACCAGTGGCATTCTTGGCAAAAATATTTAAGAAGGCAAATAAGCAAATCAATTCTAGGCACGTGACATCGGCAGATGTAAAATTTACCTGGATTATTAGCTTGCCTTAGAATGTCTGCTATGTAAAATATGTATAGACGATTGATTTTAACGGAGAAACGAGAGAATAAATGTGTGGCCTAGGAAATAAATGTGGACGTGAAAGGCGCTAGGAATTTTGTGAAAGTGTCGGGTAAAATAACTTGTCTATTTTCATGAGACGATATTGTGGGGTGTAATCGGTAAGAGAAGGTTGCGATGGGTAAGACACTTACACAGGATGGAGGAGGAGGGGGGGGAGGGCACGGTACTGAGACGGGTATTGGAGTGGCACCTCAGAGGAGAAGACCTACAAGTCGACGGTGGTGATGACAATGTAGGACCTTGAAGTTTGGCTGTCGACCTTATAGCAACGACAGGATAAAGAAAAAAGGAATTAAGAAATGGCACGGGGTTGTTGGTGCCAAAAATATCGGTCCTGCTGACCTCTTTACCACGATTGGCTTGTGTACACTTAGGGATCAGTCCTCAAGGTTGGGATACTTGTCAGATTATTATTCATAGAGGGCACGGCTGGGTACGTACGGTGCGAAAAAAGTTCAACGTACAACATACCTTCGTACATGCACTGAAATGTGAGCAGCAAGTAGGCGTGCCACCGAGTAAGCCGGTATGCATGTTGGCGTATGTGTTTAACCCTTTCATCTCCACCGTTTTTAGGTGTACACACTTAGCAACAGGTACCACTTATTTAAAGCCAAGTCCTAGGATATCATTCGCCTATGATACGATGTCAGCTGTGGCCAGGAATCAAACGAAGGGAGGCAAAGTCAGCCGGGCATGGTGCTGACCATACCAACTCGTCGTGTTCCGTGCCGGCCTGAATCGGTGCTTGCTGATGACGCTTGGCTCAACAGTCTTGAGGCAACATAAGGCTCGTTTGTTTTTGTTTTGTAGGTGTTTGATAATTATGCGGTGACGGTGATGATCGGTGGAGAGCCTTACACACTGGGCCTTTTCGACACGGCGGGTAAGAATGTGGCAGTTGTAACATCTTGATGTTCTGTTTTTATCCCTATGTGCTGAAAGGCACAAGCTTTTGTTTTAAGTAGGGGTGTAACGATTCGGCAACAAATAAATTCTGATGCAAATATTACTTGCGTCGAATCTGTGGAGAATCATTGAATGGAGTTTACAGAACTCGACATACGAGTAAAAAGGATTGGAGAGAAAATAATGTGGTAAAAAGAAGACAAAATAATTGAAGTGTGACTGACCCATGACAATTCATAGAATTCCTGGGGAAGGGTGCACTGTTGTTACATTGCCAGTTTTATGGGAAAAATGAAGTTGAGAGAGAGAATTGTCTCTATCCCACATCTTTAAACTGTCCGACACGAACGTCCACAATGGTCGAACTGCCCACGGTTGACATAAACTCACATTAACACGTCGGCTTTCGCGACCATTATCATCCATAATATAGGTTTTTTTAGTTAGATCACGTAAATGTGTTAAACCCGCCACCACCCGACAGCCAATTAGTTAGGTTTGTCATGTAAACAGAACGTGGCCAATTCGTCACTAGTACAGCACACCAAGGTGTATTGGAGAGCAAATCCACAACATTTACAATTCGAGTACGACGTTTCACCAGTAGTTACAACTAGCTTCATCACGCGACAACTAGCTTCATCAGGCGACAGCCAAATTTGGCTGTCGCCAGATTCAGCTATCGCCTGATGTGTGATGTGTGTAGGGGGCAGTGCAGGCACGTTCCTAGCAGGTTCTGTGTGTAGCGTTTGAGTGTTGTCCACTTGAATTTTTCCCATGGGGTTTCCCCAGCCGTTCCAGTTTTATGCCACTCAGGAAATGTTCCCTGAAATGTAATTTGCTGTTTTGAAAGTAGATTTTAACACTGAACAAGATTCTTCTGCATTTAAGGGTTTCAGAGTATTTGGCTGCCATAAATTTCGACAAGCCACTGTTGTTGAGCTATCAATTGTGGCGAAGTTACTTATGATAAAGCTCTATAGCTTGGTGGGCCTTACCTGGTAAAATATACATAGTTTATAGTTTAGTTCTATAACATTGATTCTTATGCTCACGATATATGCATGGAATTGTGCGTGCGGGAATCGGTTAGTAACGGTTTATGCAAATGATGCTCAAATAATTTAAGTTAAATGTGTATATGAAACTCAATCTGATGGGGAAAAGAGAAACGATGCATATTCAATCGTAAGAGACGAAGAATAATCGATGCCGAGATTAAATCGCAACACCAAAACATAACTTATTAAATCTCTGGAAGAATGGCTTGTTTTTATTGTCTGTACAAAATCTACTTTTTTAGAAGGCATCAAGTGAAAATAGAGTACATTTAAAAAGTAACCCATGAACTTATCAAATGGTAAATTCATATCGTAGAATTTTAAAAGATGTGACGTCTTCAAAATGTAATGAAAATATCTAGTAACCTCTGCAGTTGCCAACATTAGCAGCTTTGGAAACAGTGACGTTTGCCAGCGGAAGCGATCCATCTGCGTGATAAGTCATGTGACAGATTACATCGCATTCCAGCTCGGTTGTCTCCAGTTCTGTCAAATGCTCTGCCAATAACGCAATAATCTAGTGCAGCAGCACCAACACAAGCTTCTGCAAGGAATGAATCCCCCGAATTTGGAATTATGCAGCACAAATGAAATGGCCTGCCATTTAAAAAAAAATCTCAACAATGAGTATTATTGATATCGTCCATCTGACACGCTCATAATCCTGTGAAACAGAGCCTCATAGCTCATCAGACTCCTCCAGCATAAATAAAGATTTTGATTCTGGTTTCTCTGATGTACAGTTCTCCGATGTGTTGTCGGGTCGTACCGCGTGTTGTTGTATGTACATTGAACTTGTTTCGCACCATACTTGGCTAACCGTGCTAATCGAAGGTGCGTAGCCAACCGTGCTAATTGTTTGGCACAACGTCCGACGTTCTGCTCCACGTTCTGGGTGTTTCTTCAGGAACTTCGCTAAATTTGTCGCCAAACGTTGCAGTGCTTTGCGAAGTTTTCTTAAGTGCAGCTGCAATCAATGACGACTCGTTACCGTATCGTGGTGACAGTCTGTTGATGGTGCCGGGGGTCACAGAAGGCAGTCTTAGTCTTTTGATGACGACGGCGATGATGATGGCATTGCAAATCCACGTGTGCTTACGCGAAGAGGTGATGGCCTGGGTGTGTTGTGTGCAGGTCAGGAGGATTACGATCGGCTGCGCCCCCTCAGTTACCCGCAGACGGACGTCTTCCTTGTTTGCTTCTCCGTCGTGTCTCCATCCTCCTTTGAGAACGTCAAGGAGAAGGTGAGGCCACCCTCAGTAACGTGGCCCGTGGCTTCACGGCCATTAGGTGTTTGTGGTGTTGGGTTGAGACCGAGGTGGCCACGTATTGGGTCACGGACTGTTACCCCCCCCTGAATCGTCACTGCTAGCCGGGTATCCTTGCTGCTTTAACATTTGTGAACATTTGTGCTATATTATTCAGTGGTGAGTAATAGTCAAACAAACCCCCATGACTGGCACGGCATGGGAAAGGCCTTCATCCAGCAGTACTTGACAGTGGGCTGTATATTATTATTATTATGCAGTCACAACCCTTATCCACAATTGACATAAATTACGGGTGAATTACGAATAAAATGGGTAATAATGCCGCAATAAAACTTCTCAAATGCTACCGACAGCACGAATGTCGCTGGTTTGAAAACGCTGGTCTAAATCGCTTGTCCTTTTGGTTGAAAAGCAGATAGATTACAAAGAAAATAGGCAGAATGCTGCCACAGAACGTATCAAATGCTGCGTACAGCGCTAATTCCACTGGTGTGAAAACGCTGGTCCAAATCGCTTGCCGTTCTTTTTGGTTGAAAAGTGCCGTTTCAAAGCTGTGCCCCTTCGCTGCCCATTCCACAGTGGGTGCCCGAGATCACGCACCACTGCCCCAAGACGCCATTCCTGCTGGTGGGCACGCAGATCGACCTTCGCGACGACCCCAGCACCATCGACAAGCTGGCCAAGAACAAGCAGAAGCCCATCACGTGCGAGGCGGCCGAGAAGCTGGCGCGCGACCTCAAGGCCGTCAAATACGTCGAGTGCTCCGCGCTCACCCAGGTGCCGCCCCCCCCTCCCTCCATCTGTCACGCTCACACACAGTTGCGGCAGATCACGGGGGCTGCCTTAGCAAATCGAACGCCACATCATCCGTAGCACGCGCGGTCCGTTTGCAGTGTATTCGCCTGCAGTGCATCCGATTGTTTAATACGAGGGACACTTAGAAAAGTCATCCGCACAAGCGGAAAGGAACGACGGAGCTTGGCATGTGTACAGGCTGTGGCAATTCATGACAATGCTTTTGTTTGTTTCAATGCTTCCCCTGGGGGAGCACATACGTGGGAGGTCTACCGAGCATCAAGCCCATTAGTAGTCGTCGTTATGACACGGTGGATTTTAAATCCGAACCATTGCTGGGGGTGGGCAGGGGGGCGGTGGTTTCATGACGTTGGCTCGTGCTGAGTATCCCCTTTTCCTCTTCCCTTGTGTGTGACCCGCCCCCCCCCCCATTACCGCCAACAGAAAGGACTGAAGAATGTATTTGATGAAGCCATCTTGGCAGCGCTGGAACCGCCCGAGCCGAAGAAGAGGAGAAAGTGCCTTCTGCTCTAAGAGCTGCTACGGCAGCAGCAGCGGCAGCAGCAGCAGTAGTGATGATGGTTATAATTAAATTCGAATAATCATATACCAGTGGTGCTGCCACCTAGACCATAGCCCATCCTATGGGCCTGGATGTCTCTCTGCAACCCACAAAACCTTTTACTCCCCCCCCCCCCCCCCTGTACCTCCACCCCTCCCATAACCCGACAAACCTCGTCATCGTCAAAATCCTTCCCATCTTCCTTTTCCTCATCCTTTAAACTCAATTTCCCCCCACCGGCCCGGCTCCTCCCCCCGCCTACCTTTCCCACCCACCGTGTTTTTTTTGTCTGTCCAGCACAAGCAGTTTAACGCGGTATGTTATTTTGTACTACTCCTCCACCACCTCCTTCCCGTGGAGGCATTTAAAGTGTGTGTCGTAACAAAATAAGCGCCAACACACGAGTGTAATTGTATGAACGATGATTATATAACTCCAACCCCCTTTGTTGTTTTAAAAAATGTTTTTTTTTGTCCGTCTAACAACCTATTTTTTGTTTCTTGAAAAATAATTTGAAACGATACTGAACGCATCCCGACAATATTAAACCTGTGGATATTTGACAAGCGTGTGTACTGGCGCCTGTCGCAAATCGTACAAAAGGAATGAGACTCGCACGATTCAGCCATTTACAAACGACTCGGCGATAAACCCCGTGGAAATATTCCTCGTCATGCATATGCACATATGTAAATCGCCCCAATGTTTACATACGTATGTATAGCAATGAACGGAATTGGAGACGTTTAGCCGCAATGTCAAGCGGCAAGTACAAGCATCGTGGCATTGCTCCCCAAACGCGTTTTGTAGCAAACGTCAATTGTCGCGCAAAATGTGAGACGCTGCTTGTGGCGGTGAGAGCGGTGTTCAGCCGGCGGCGGCGGGGGGGGGGGTCCAGCCTCTGCTATAAGTGTACCAAGTCGTAGCGTGCGTCGTGACAAACGCGTCACCGCGTCCTGCAACCCCGTGGAGGTGGGGCAGGGTGATGGGTTGCCGTTGCAGCTCACGGGAGACGCGTTTTAAACCCGCTTGCCAGCCTGAGATCGCTGTTGGAATGTTTTTAACGGAGCAAGGAAAGCGCGCGTTTAAGTTGGTTAGAGAAATTAAATGCATATTAAAAACAAAAAAAACCTGTAAAAGTTTAGCATGTCGGTGAAAGTTTTTTTTTTTAAAGTGAAAATTGATACGAAGTCAAAAATAAATAACAGAACATGGTAATTTCTATTTGTAGTGAGTAGTGTGACTACATCCTGTACATAGGTAATAAGCCAGGGCTTTATTTCTTGCTGAATAATTTGTGGGTCGCTGGTAGACTGGGGAGTAGGTGGCACGTGACGAGTCCGTACAGCCATAGCCAGAAATGTACTGGATGTGGTGTGCCGGGTGCGGAAATATTTTCTGGGTTGACCCGGACAATCCCGGCAATAATGAAGCCCTGGGTAGAGCAGTTTGGCCATGCTGGGTGACCATACGTAGCACATTCTTAAGGGGGGTGTTCACCCGTAAGCAGTTTTGAACCGAGAATTGTCGACCGGCGCCGTACAATTTAAATATTCCCTGACCAAGTGTCACTCGTTGGGAGTGATGCTATAAAAGAAAAAAAGCAAAGGTGACAGACTGAAGCGTCCGGCAGGGTAGTGTTTGGGTGAGCAGCGTGTGTGTGCGCGCAACACTTTGCAGCTTAAAGCTCCTCAACCACTGAGCTGCTCCTCCTAAGCCTTGAGAATGGGTGCCTGTACGATGGTTTAATCTCGCTCGGAAGTTGCTCTGGCTTTTTAACTTTTCCACTGCTAACTTTCTTTTTCATAACAAACGTGCAAAAGAATATACAGGGTCAGTGGAGCCCATTGAGAGCAAAGCGGTTTGTGTACAAAACCACAGCTTTCATGCAACAAATTATTCAAATATAAATATCACGAGTAAACGTAAAAAAGTAAAACGATAAAACATTAAAAAATTCGAAGTGAAAAGTATAACGAATGAGAGTGGGTATCGTAATCGATATGAGCTAATGTTTAAATTTGCCTTGTGGCTACTGTAACTTCTAAATAAAGAACCAACATTAGCGACACTTAACAGGAGATTTATTTCCTAGCCTACGAACATGATTAATAGCGCAGCGATGCGTTTTTTGGGTTGTACCGCATGCTGTTGGGTATAATGTTCAACGTTTCGCTCCATTATTCTGGAAGCTTGGGCAACGTGATTCTCAGTTCCTGAAGAAGCACCCAACAACGTGGTGCGAAACGTCGTCGCATCACTCAACAATACGTGGACGGTAAAACCCAAAAACGGAGCCATACATCTGCAACCACGCGTGCAGTCGTGTACCTTATGGTTAACAATGCATCAATTGTGTGTATCGTTTATCTTCTCAGTACGTTAATGATAGACGAGTTATTTTAATTATTCTGCAATGTTTAATGTTGACCCCGGTGTGTTTTTTTTTCGTCAAGGCCATTTGGAACACGACGCGATCATTTAAACGGGGCGCTGCGGATTGGGTCTGGCGCAACGACGGCGCTCGACCATTGTAACCCTGAAGTTGACCTAGCAAGCAAAACAAATATAATTTAAAACGTCGACGTCTTGCGCATTTAGTCACTCCTAACAATATACACCCCCCCCCCTCCCCAAAACGTGGACGGCTCCTTTTCGCATTAAACGGCGCGACGTCACTTAAAGCCTATATTGTGGAATGTTATTTACCAGTTTAATATCGTGTTATACTGGTAGGAACCTCCTGGTTACACCAGCCCACGGGGGATTATTCTGTCCGTCGTGCATCCAAAAATGGGAGGGGCTGGGTGGGAGGGGCTGGGTGGGGAGGGGCTGGTGTGGAGGGTGGGGCTGGGTGGGGAGGTGCTGGTCACCCCGTGGTGCCCTTATAAAACTCAACGTTTAACCTACACACGCCGGCTTGTGCCCACCCTTAGTCGGCCATATTTGCGGAATACACCACGCCGCCGTTGACCCTGGTCCATTGACCGAGCAACCCAACGTTTCTACCAGCTCCCTCCGCAGGAATGTGTTGCCAGTTATTCCCCCAGCATGGCCTCATCGAGTTTTGAGACGTTCTCGCCGGGGTGCTGCATTGTGGGGGATATTTGGTAAATTCTCAATGAGCTTGGTTTCATAGACGAGGTAACTGGGAGAACCTAAACCCACCACCGGCCACCTGGACAGGAGGGGGTGACATTGAACACTGCCATTGCCTGGCCACAAACATCTGGCAAGTGGTGGTGGTCACTTATCAAAGTGCAAACCAGGCTGAAAAAACAACAATGCTGCTCCACCATTTGTCAAACTAATTGTTGGTTTTTTTTTGTTTGTTCCCGATTGGCTGGGTTAACAAATCTTCCTGTAGCCAGAAATGTGCAGCCCTCTGCTCTTCTCACAGACCCATTTGTTTAACCGTCCTTAGCAGATTTCGTTACTAGCAACGATTGTCCAAAGTTTGACGTGACAGAACCTGTCATGCATTCTACTTTCTAAAGGGTGTCACTTTTCAGATGTCATTCAACAATCTTTTTTTTTTAACTATCATGCTTGGAATGCCATTGAGGGGCTGAAGGAGGAACATGTTGGCACATTTCGATTTAAAGCTTTCGTGACTGCAGGGATTCATCTTCTTGGTTCTTTCGGTAAAGTCACGTAGAAGGGAAGTAATAAAAAGAAAACAATTAAATAATTCTCACGACGTTTCGGCCACAACGCAAGCAGCCGTCCTCAGGTGAAGAACAGGTCTGTCGGAAAAGCCAGTGTCTGAATGAACACCACCAGGCTTGGCAGCGTATATTTAAGCCCGGCTGAAATATACGCTGCCAAACCTGTTACTTCACCTGAGGACGCCTGCTTGCGTTGTGGCCGAAACGTTGAGTATTATATTGTTTTATTTTTATTATTTTATTTCCCTTCTATGTGACTTTACCAAAAGAACCGAGAAGATGTTGGCACATCGCCCATTGTCACCATCAGCCAAGGTCCCCCAGATTCAATTCCTTTTCCTCGTTATCCTTCCTGTCCCCTTGGCAGCGTGACGCTGCTGCCCATGGAAGGTAAGTTCAACCCCGACCCTGACACCCATATGCTTGGCGTTTACTTGTTCTCAGTCTCGATTTAAAGCTTTCGTGACTGCAGGGATTCATCTTCTTGGTTCTTTCGGTAAAGTCACGTAGAAGGGAATAAAACATAATAAAATAATTCTCACGTTTCGGCCACAACGCAAGCAGCCGTCCTCAGGTGAAGACCAGGTCTGTCGGGGAAACCGACAGACCTGGTCTGCTTGCGTTGTGGCCGAAACGTGAGAATTATTTTATTATGTTTTATTTTTATTTATTACTTCCCTTCTACGTGACTTTACCAAAAGAACCAAGAAGGTGTTCTCCGTCGTCACGTGGACTTTTCTGGGTCCTCCGGTTTTTCCTTCCACATTGAAAAACATTTTAGATTATTTGGCTGTTATAAATTTCCACAAGCCACTTGATTGAGCCATCATGTGGCCAGGTCGCTTCTGAAGAGCGAAAAAGCTCAGTTGGCCTTACATTGTTAGAAAAGAGTTTAGGTTTTTATAAATTGTATTAACGAACCACGGTTATAACGGGACCCCTTAAACACTTAACCTGTTTTAGAGCAATGGAAAGTCCCCTGGTTAACTTATTTGATTAGACGCTATTTTCAGGTTGTGCAACTCGGCAAAACTGCAAAGGCAGATGTGCAGCCTCGTTACAATCCCCAATCACTAGGGGTGGAATGATAACATCACTTCACCAAAATAATCAGCCAATAGCATGAACGGATGTGTGTGCGCGTAAATGCCGGAAAGGTGCGTTGGTAGGCTCCCAAGTATGGGGTCTACCAACTGTATGCACAATACAAGTGCACAATCAGGACATCTATCCTAAGCCTCAAACCACTTTATACATCAGGCAAGCAACGCAAGCAACAGCTGTGTTCACGTGTCCAGGGCCTCGACTTTATTAAACACTGTACAGTGGGGGAGAGCTATTTCATGGAAAATGAAGTTTTGCTTTGGTGAATTAAGGTCAAATGTATGCCATAGATCAGTGTAGTTGAGTTGCTTCAATTTAGCAACCCTATGGAAATGCAAATATACCAGCTGTGTTCTCCCCACAGTGGGAATTTCCGAATCCAAAGAATGTATTTATACTGGAGGAATCCGTAGAGCTATAAAGCTCTTTCACAGATGTCCAGTAGATTAAAATGTGCACCAGTCGGCAATCCTCACTGGGACTTGGCACTCTGTATTCGTGATTGGAGGCATTTGTAGAAGTGTTGCATTAGCATTTAATGAAATGGTAATATACACAAATGTAAGTATAGCAGAAACGGTTAAAAACGGAAAATAGAAAAAAATATATATATGCATTTGCCTATTGCAGATTGTGACCTTCCCTTAACGCTTGAGGAATGCTCTTCCTCCCTCGGGAGTGAATCTTTTAAACCCCCAGTATATATATGGTGGCAGTGCAGATTCGTCAGCAATCTGGATTTTTTTTTTACTTAAATCGCCAACGTTTTTTTAATATTCATCGTGCGTGCGTTTGTAAAACAATTGCGTTCCACCGAGTTGTAGGAATCTCCTCCACATTCGAGTTATTCTGAAACACAGGCAAGGCATTCATCAGAAATGTTTGCATACAAAACTCTCCATCAGATCATGATAGACCCCGTTACCTTGGTAAGTAGCCCTGTGTTATGTGCAGGCGTGTCATGAATGCGACAGCTGTACATCTGCACTTCGATAATGACCGTGGTTATTATAATTAGCGGGTGCAGTGGTGGGTGGCGCAGTTGTGAGCACACTACACTGAATCTGGTGACATGGGTTCGATTCCTGGCTATGGCTAACAACAGTGGTGACTGATATGAACCGTCATGGTCCCTCCTCTCCCTTCAACCTGTCCTGGGTGGACAGCCAGCCCATCGTAAGCATTGCGAGATGAAAACCTCATGCAGGTCAAGGGGCTTATTTCGTTTTGCCAAGTGATACTCATATATATCAAGGTTCTGCAATCTACCTTCTTTTTATAAAATGAAATCTCTGAAATGTTTAACAGTAATTCCTATGAATCTAAAAATGATCCCCCCCATGAGCCGACTAAGTGGCACAGCAGTCGGTGCTGGGCCAGCACTTGAGGTCTTGGGTTTAAGTCGAGGTTACAGTCGCCCGTGATTAAACCACTTTCCCTTCTACAGTGAGTTGATGGTCACCACTGACCAGGCATAACCCATGGAATTAACGCAATCCACAATCTCGAGGGGTGTGTAAATGATACATTACTTCAGATATCAATGCTGAAGGCTCACGGTGCACGCATTGATTCACTTTATTGTTTTAAATGTATTCCTTTTAAGAACCTAAATATTTACACCGGAGGAATCTGATGAACGACAAAAGCTATTTTTAAATCCTTTATATTAAGTTCGCTTGCTTGCGCGCTTACGACCGTGCAAATCTTTCGGTCGTTTTTTAACCCACTTCCCGTGATCCAATCGAGCTGACATTTTGCACACAGACTCGTTGTGCGTAACAATGTATTTTCGTGAAAACATTTTTCCAAAATTTTACACTGTTTAAGAAAAAAAAAATTATATTTCATTACCAATTGCTTAATGGTGGCAGGCAATCATCTGACCCATAGGTGGCAGCCATCTCAAGCCAGAGGACGCGAGGACTCTAGCCGCCACGCATATAAAGGATTTATAGTGAAAAACTTTGTTTTTACGGGTTAATTTTTCATTCTGCTGAATAGTACACATGACAATTATACAGTACTCCTGCGAACACCTTATTGCTTTGCATGTAATGGGTTCAGATCACTAAAATCTATCTGAATCACGACCCCTCGTGTCAAAATAATTCCATGTGAGGAATGAATCTTTCCAAGCAGTAATCACGCCACAACAGTGGCTTTTCCTGTGCCAGAATCAGATTCGAATCTCGACATTTAATAACAATTCTGGAACATCGGCCAATCGTTATGCCCCGACAACCGATAGTCCATTTTTCGATTTAAAGCTTTCGTGACTGCAGGGATTCATCTTCTTGGTTCTTTCGGTAAAGTCACGTAGAATGTCTACTCGACAGACCTGCTCTCCACCTGAGGACGGCTGCTTGCGTTGTGGCCGAAACGTCGTGAGAATTTTTAAATGTTTTATTTTTATTATTTTATTATTTCCATTCTGCGTGACTTTACCGAAAGAACCAAGAACATGAACCGATAGTCCCTCCCTTAACCCTCTTCGGGGCACGCTCACTCACCTGGTTTGTTGGCACGCTCACGTGAGCGTATCCTCACAGCGGATGTACTCCCCAATGTCGGCCTGCTGGAACACCGTCACGGACATCGGGTCGCAGCGGCGGCACTCCTGCGTCGACTTGGCGGCGACGCCAAAACCCTGCAAGGTGGCGGGGTGTGACACAGGGACAGCGGCGATAACTACGCTAGCATCGCGTACAGCATCTCTACTTAACAATTTTTATGATCAACTTTTTCCATAAGTTGTTTATGGATTAAATCGCGTAAATGTGTCACTAAATTCACCACCAACTGACAGCCAATTAGTAATATTTGTTACAGCCAATTAGGTTTGTGACAAACCCTTAGAATTGGCTGCATCAGGTGGTGGCAGGTTTAACCGTATATTTATGCCATTAAATCCAAAAAAATCTCGTGATAATATCGTTCGCGAAAGCCTACACGTAAACTTTTTATTCTACCAGGTAAAGCCCACTGAGCTATTGGCTCAGATGTGGCCTCTGGGCGTCGTCGCTGCCCCGACTTGCGTTCAACAGGTCAAATAAATCGTGCAGCGTTGTGGGATGCTGTTGACATGAATGACGTAATGTAAAAATTAAAAGTTGATTATTATTAGAAGCGACCTGGCCACAAATGATAGCTCAACGAAGTGAAAATGTATAGCAGCCAAATAATAGAAATGCGTGATGTTGATTCTAAAATGTGGAGGGAGAAATAAACCGGGAGAACCCGGAGAAAAAGCTACATGCTCACAGGAAGAACATGCAAACTCCAAATATTACAGGTGTCCGGATCGGGATCAAACCCACGATATTCTGCACTTGGCGAGGAAAATAACATCACGCGACAAGGATGGTCTGTACCCCAGTCACTGCCATGGCACACAGGCATATGTCTAATATCAGCACTCTCCATAATAGCACTCGTCACCACCTCCACCATCATGGCCCACATCACATCTCCCCTGCGATCACACTCGCCATACCAGCACCACTGCCGATAACTACTCCTTACACACAGCAAGCCATCACACATACCATCTCCTGAATATAAAGACTTGTGCATTGTAGGAACACCCTGGGTTTTCTAATAAATTGGACATAAGTTTACAATTAATTTAGTTTAACCGCGGGAGAACTCAAGAGACGAGGATGAGTAATTTGCAAGTGACCTGGGGCTATGCATAATCCCCATAGTTATTTGTGGGTAATTTTACAAATTTGGACCCAGATGCCAGCACACAATGGTCTACTCTTGCAAATGACAGTCTTTAAACTTTAAAAAATCAAATCCCGCATATGGTTAAAACACCGCAGTAATATCCAGCGTGGCCCACTGGATTCGAACCGTGAATCTCTGCAACAAAGGGTGAACGCGCCATGCATTCCAACAGGCCAAATAAATAGACTTCCGTTCAATCGGTCAACAGATTAAAACATCTTTTCACGTGGAGATGCAGCAGGATGCAAGTAAAGTTTTATATTTCTTTTTACACGCAAGTTTATTTTCCCCACAATTGTATTCCAATTGTGCTATTGACACGACGTAACGAGTAGTAAGGATCCGTTCCGAACTCTTCAAATGGCCCGTTGAAGAAGACATTACACAACTACTTCTGAGATCCCTTAAATCGTGCACGCACACAAAGACCCCCCGTATAGCCTTAACAGACTGTAGGGGCAAGTGCTGTTAGCGAGCACCTATGAAGGCCGGAACGGTACACGAGGGGGTGGGTGGCCAGCACCACGCCCGACCGCCTTTGTCTCCCTAGTGGTGATGTTTACACACCGCACCAGGTACTCATTTCAGGCTGAGTCGACCTAGGGGAGGCCCAGGACCGGTTCAGATAATCGTCACTGGTGTTGGCCGTGAGCGGGAATCGAACCAGGGTCGCCAGGTTCATAGCGCAGCGCGCTAACCGCTACACTACCGCTCCCCACACGCGCACACACACACACACTACCAATGGGACCTCTTCAACATCTGTGGCGAAGCTCACCAGAGGCACGTCGGCCATGGAATAGACGACGACGCCCTGGTACTGCGGCGTGTTCTCCGTGATGCGGCCGAGCCCCGACTTGAGGACGTGGTTTCCGTAGAGGAACGACTGCTCCGAGCCGGGCTTCACCCACACTTTGTACTACGACACGCGACACACGCAATTACCTCGCCGACCTCATCAGGGAACGTGAAACCATCATCACGCGAACTCCTGTCCCCATCCTCAAAGCGGCAGCAGCGGCTTTTGCCTGGCCGTTGAACAAAAACGGTGGTTACACCGCATCGTGCGCTTTTGGATGTGCTTATACGGCCGTCTGGAACGCTCTTCCTTCCCATATTAGGAAGCCACTGGAGCTATGCACTTTTAAATCTAGATTGAAAACTAATTTCTTTAAAAGTTTATTGTGTTTAGTTTTTTTGTCCTTTCTCCGATTAGCACTGTTGGCTACTATGGTGCAAAATAAATTCACAGAACAGCGAGTGTTTGCGAGCTGATAGCCACGATTCACAGCTGACATGTCTGAAAGTGACCGCTTAACCAGGCAAGTGCAAATCTGTGGCAATAAGACGATCACGTTCGAGAGGTTAACATAACCACTCATTGTGTGACCGAACCGGTAAGTCGTGCGACGTCACGGGCTTTACGTTATTTGCCGCTCTCAATAAAGATTCCGATTCCCACCCAGCACCTGTAAATGAGACGTCATCCCAATATTCCGATCCCTCTACAGCCTCCCAATGCAATCCCAGATGAAATGTCAATATCCTCCATGGCCTCGTTCCTGCCTACCTCTCATCTCACTCTTAACCCCCCTCCATGCACTCTGCTCCAGTAACCAAGGCTTTCTCCTCTGGTGCCTCCATAAACTGGAACTCCATTCCCTCAGCCATGCGTGCTGTTGACGGTGTTTCTGTTCAAGCTTAGACATTCATGTCCCTCCATAGTCTGGAGCTCCCGTCCCCCAGCCTTCCGTGCTGTTGGTTTCCTGTCCCTGGGCACCACGGTGGCGAGATGTTAACTACCTTGCCTGGTATCCAGGAGATTGTGGGTTTGATCCCGACCCCGATGGCTGCATATTTTGAGTTCGCATGTTCTCCCTGTGGCTGTGGATATTTCTCCGGGTCCTCCTGTTTTTCCCTCCACATTTAGAAACGTCCGTTTAAGAGTATTTGGCTGCTATAAATGTCCACATGGTAAGCCACTTTTGCAAAGCTATCATCTGTGGCCAGGTCACTTCTGAAAACGAGCTATATGGGTCAGTGGGCCTTAACTGAGAAAATAACAAAGAGTTTATAGTTTTATAATTGATTTAAGGTTGAGTCGACCTAGGCAAGGCCCAGGATGGTAGTAAAAATAACAATCTTCGACTAATCAACGGAACGTTGACTCCGAATTGTTACCATTTGTTAGCTCTCTGCGACAGCGAGAGAGACTCCACAACACCGTCCGAGTAGAGACGTTCCCTTTAACTCGCATCGACGTGAGCCTTGCTGAGGATCGCTAATCGTGGCCAAGCAGCTGCTTGAGTGTGTTACTTCAAGTCCAAGCTCAGGGGGGACACCTTCCTTTTCCTCTGCCTCCGACCGACTGCCTCCAAAACGAATACGCCCATCGTGTTTGCGCGAGTGCGCGCTCGTCACACCTTGGCGTACGGCGCGAGGAAATCGAGCGCCGTCACGTGCAGGCGGAACTTGCGCGTCTTGGAGAACTTCCCCATGCACGTTCCTACGCACACGAGGTGCTCGCGCGCCACGCTCGTCGCCATCCGCAGCAGCTTGTCGCTGAAGATTTTCGCGGAACGCAGGAAAACGGACAAGCAGCACACGCGCGGTGATTAGCGACGCACTTGGAGCAGTGGTTTCATTTCTGCTGCTACTCTGACCCAGAGGTCGCAAACGGGTTTTGATTCCTTACCCGTACCCGGCCGCACCAGGGTCGCAAACGGGTACCCATACCCTACCCGATACCCGGCTACCCGTACCCGGCCACCCGTACCCGGCCGGGTATGGGTAGCCGGGTATCGGGTAGGGTACGGGTATCGGGTACCCGTTTGCGACCTCTGCTCTGGCCACACCAAGTTGCGGGGTAAATTGACGACCGAGGGAAACTGCAGAAAAGGTGAATGGCAATTCAAGCAATGTTGGAGTTTAACTGCAGAATATATATATTTTAAAATCACGTGGTCACGTTTATTGTTTATTTGGTCTTTATTCTGGAATAGGTCCCATGGTGCTCGTGACTCTTTCCTACGCGATGAAGCAACATTTTTTAACAAGATAATTGTTTTTTTACCCTTCTATCTGGTAACAAAACTGACACCTTTTTTACAAGGAGTCATGTTTGCATAGACCACAATACCTGCAGTCATAATGCAAACAAAAAACATAACTCTGATAATGTATGCACTGTCCTTGAAGTTGATTGGTGCACACCCGAGACAGCTTTCCATAGAGCCTAGTCTCACATGGGTTGGACCAGATCACGCCAAAAGGCGCATTATTTAACAAGCCTGTCTGACGAACCCCTGAATGTGGAAACCTGTCCAGATTTTTTAAACTTACACATACTCCATAAAACACACTGGTCGAGAAGGCGCAGAGGTCGAATTACTTCCCCCCCCCCCCTGATTCGTGTGGAAACAGACCAAGGTATAATATTTACATCATTACAGTTGGGTCAAGAGTTCACACTCAATACTCGTAAACCATCATCTCGTCTCATGTCTTGAGTTGGATTACGGCTAACATCAATGGAAAGTCACATCCGAGCCGGTCCCTCCCCCTTCACTAGGCCGTACTGAACAGCGTTAAGCGTGTAGGCCTTCAAAGCTCATTTATAAAGTCTATTAATTATTTATACGGTTAATGTCCGAAAAGATACCACTCCGATGAGCACTGTTGGCTACGTACGGTGCGAAAGAAGTTCAACAACAACATCCGCCATTCGTCACAAAGTGGCGGTGACGTCGCGGCTCCTGTGCCAGGCTAGGTGCACCGAGGCCATGAAAAGTGTCGAAGGCTCTCCCGACAGCTCACGGGGCAGACCCAGGTGCCACGCGTTGACCGACTGCGATGACTGGCAGATAGCACCAGCTGTGCGCTCTACTGTGCCGACTAGCTTAATTTTAATCCGCCCGGCGTTGTTGTGAGCGTCGCTCCTCCACCCTCCGTTGCTGTTGGGAGCGCGACTGACTCTAAACTACCCAGCAGCGAAGTTCAACATTACAGTATACACATGCATACCTCATGTAGTACACGCGCTCCCTCTGCAAGCGAAAGCAGTACGACCCATCCGGTCTGTCCAGAAGCATCTTCACATTGTCCCCGACACTGGCGACGAGACGAGGCAACGACACGCGGCCGAGTTTAACACCGGACCCAAAACCCAGCCAGAAACATTCCCTTTAAAAATACACTTGCTCATCTGACGTTAATAAAAGCAACTCAACTGTAAAGTTGGCGTTTTGCGTTAAAACGATCGATTATTTCGTCGTCATGCAGTGTACAGTGGTGCGGAGACCATATTCGGAAATGATTTCGACGGTAAATTGTGGCCTACGTAGCGAGCATACCGGCCTCTGCTCAATGTTAGCCAGGCGTGGGTTCAATTACGTAATTCGTAATGAAACGTGATCAGAAATGTAATTATGATATACTCTCTAACAACAAATCTGCTGTTGCACCTGTAACTACAATTGCCCCCACGTCTCGCCGTTAGGCCGCAGCTAGCCCTAGGCGACGTCGCTTTAGCCTGAGCGATACACAAAACGCCGCCGTCCGCACCCCCCCCCACCACCCCAGCGCTACTCACTATTTGGATAACTTCTCGAACAGAGACTTCGTCTCTTCCTCCGTCAGTGGACGCATGTTTCCTCGGACTCTGCGACGAAATCTCCACTCGGCGGCTCCAGCAGAGATCAGCAGCGAGCGAGCGAGGGAGCAGCAGCAGAAGTCGAGGCCGGCCGAGTGCTCGACCACGTGTCGGTGGACCCACGAGGTTGGTGGAGGAGGCGCTCGCGCGCGTCGATGACGCAATCACCGCTCGCCGATGACGTCACGAGGGCATCGGCAACAGAGCTGCGCCCTCATCCTCCTCCCCCCCCCCCAAAAAAATAAGAAATAAACCGGTGACGCAGTTTGTCGTCGAGAACCCGGCAGCATCATTCGGGAACAAACTTATAATTGGCGAGCGTCGTTTGCGGAGATTAAAAGTCGCAAAAGTAGACAAGCGGGCAACGCCTCCGTAAATAGCTGGTCCCTTCCAGATGACAAAAAAATACGCTTCCGGTTAACCGCGCGGGGCCTTCTGGGAGTGAGTTACGAGAAAATGATGTCACCGGGCGTAGGGTAGCATGACGTCATCGCGCACAGCGGCGGCGTGACGTCACCGCGCTGGTATTGAGAAACCGCGCCGGCCCCCGCGCGCTGACGTCATCTCCGGCCCACGCGCGCCGACGTCATCTCCGGCTCGCGCGCGATGGCGTCATCGACGAATCAGCGCGCGATGACGTCATCGACGGGCTGCTCGCGATGGCGTCATCGACGGCCCCCGCGCGATGACGTCATCGATGGCCGCTCGCGATGGCGTCATCGACGACCAGCGCGCGATGACGTCATCGATGGCTGCTCGCGATGGCGTCATCGACGGCCCCCGCGCGATGACGTCTTCGTAGAATTCCGACGCCGTGCGCGATGACGTCACGAGGCGCGCACGTGTAGGGGGGGTGGGGGGTGGGGGCCCGGTGTGGGGGATAGAAAAAAAGTTAGCGGCCGATCGCGGGGAGCGCTCATTTACAGCGAGAGGCGACAGAGGGAGACAGGGGAGAGACAGGGGGTAGGGAGAGAGTGGGGAGAGAGAGGGCAGTGAGAGAGTGGGGAGAGAGAGGGCAGTGAGAGAGTGGGGAGAGACAGGGTAGGGAGAGAGTGGGGAGAAACAGGGGTAGGAGAGAGTGGGGAGAGAGAGGGCAGTGAGAGAGTGGGGAGAGAGTGGGGAGAGAGAGGGCAGTGAGAGAGTGGGGAGAGACAGGGTAGGGAGAGAGTGGGGAGAAACAGGGGGTAGGAGAGAGTGGGGAGAGAAAGGGGGTAGGAGAGACAGGGAGTAGGGAGAGAGTGGGGAGAGAGAGAGCCGGGAGAGAGTCGGGGGAAACTTTATCGTGGGACTTATTTCCGTCTCCCTCCACGCTTAGGGCGATGATGGACGGAGGTGGACAAGACGCGGAGAAGCGAGAAGGTGCGTGCCTCTTCCCACACCCGACACGAACCCCTAACACTCAACTCAACCCCTATCCCCTACACCACCCCTAACACCTCAACCCCTGCACCACCCCTAACACCTCAACACCCATCCCCTACACCAGGGGTCGGCAACCAAAATAACAAGAAGAGCCATTTCTTTCCAATTCGGTACAAAATTCAGTATTTCAAGAGCCGCAATGCATCTGAGTACATACTGTACATACGTACATATCGTCAAGAAGCAGCCCGTAAAGAGCCGCATGCGGCTCCGGAGCCGTAGGTTGCCGACCCCTGGTCTAGACCGTCAGTCATGAGAGAACGATGAACCCTCACCTACCCTGACTATCCCTTATGTCCCTCGCTCGTACCCCACCCCTTCTCTTACTCTATCCCTACCCTATCTCTACCCCATCCCTATTCCTTATCCCATCCCTCGCTCTTAGCCCACCCATTGCCATATCCCTACCCTTACTCTGTCTACCCTATCCCTACCCTATTCATTATCCTGTCTCTAACCCTTACCTGTAGCTCTACACCTTGCCCTATCCCTACCCTATTCATTATCCTGTCTCTAACCCTTACCTGTAGCTCTACACCTTGCCCTATCCCTACCCTATTCATTATCCTGTCTCTAACCCTTACCTGTAGCTTTAAACCTTGCCCTATCCCTACCCTATTCATTATCCTGTCTCTAACCCTTACCTGTAGCTTTAAACCTTGCCCTATCCCTTACCCTATTCCTTATCCTATCTCTAACCCTTACCTGTAGCTCCAACCCTTGCCCTATCCCTACCCTATTCATTATCCTATCTCTATCCCTTACCTGTAGCTCCAACCCTTGCCCTATCCCTTACCCGATGTTGCACCTCCGATTAGCACGGTTGCGTAAGAAGTTCAAGTTCAACATACAGTACTTGCCGCTGCACGTTACCACCAAGTGGGTGTGAAGCTCACGTGTGACGCACGTATCATTCACCCCTGTGACTGCGAAGGTACATTCACCACCAGCCTTGTCATATCCACTGCTGAATGAAGGCGTCTGTAAGCCGTCAGGTTTTTGTTGTGATTTCACTCTTGCATTCGCAGTAGAGAACCAGTGCCGTCTGCTGTAATTGTCTCTGTGAACCTGCATTTGTCCGGCCTCTGAGGGTTCCAGTGGGACAGCCAGTGGGACAGCCTCTGAGACATCATCTGAGACAACTTCTGAGACATCATCTGAGACAACTTCTGAGACAGCCAGCGAGACAGCCAGTGAGACATCTTCTGAGACATAATCTGAGACAACTTCTGAGACATCACCTGAGACATCCTCTGAGACATCCTCTGAGACATCATCTGAGACAACTTCTGAGACAGCCAGCGAGACAGCCAGTGAGACATCTTCTGAGAAATAATCTGAGACAACTTCTTAGACATCATCTGAGACATCTTCTGAGACAACTTCTGAGACATCATCTGAGACATCCTCTGAGACAGCCAGTGAGACATCTTCTGAGACAACTTCTGAGACATCATCTGAGACATCATCTGAGACATCTTCTGAGACATCATCTGAGACATCATCTGAGACAACTTCTGAGACAGCCAGCGAGACAGCCATTGAGACATCTTCTGAGACAACTTCTGAGACATCATCTGAGACATCATCTGAGACATCCTCTGAGACAGCCAGTGACACAGCCAGTGACACAGCCAGTGACACAGCCTCCGAGACTTGCATTGTCCATTGTCTCATTATCAGCGCAATGTGAGTGGCTATCTCGGGGTAGCTGAGGTCACAGACACTTGCCCCGCAGTTGGAACGAGTCAGTTCAGATCCCGGACCACGGTAACATGACAGGGCCCACCAGGCTATCTGGCATATTTCAGCAGTGGATAGGCCATGTTGCACTCCTTGTATGAAAACACCTCCGATGGATGGTCTCACCTCGTGTCTATGGAATGTGGAATTTCCTCCTTGCCTGTTTTGATAATTTTAAAGACTTGTTTAGCCCCCCTTTGTCAATCCACTGCTGGATGAAGCCCCCCCCCCCACTACTTGTCGGTCACGGGACAGGGGTAGCTCAGGAATGGTTCAGATATCACTCGCCATGGCCCTGATTCAGGTTTAGGTCGACCGGGTGATTTGTACGTGTGTTACAATATATAGGTTGATGGTGTCGTGGTTAGCACATTGGACTTGTAATCCAGAGGTCGTCAATTCATTCTCCCAGGACTGCCGGTAAAGCAACCGACACTTTTCTCAGATCCTAACGCCTCTTCCCAGCAGTAGTGACGGGAACACTACAGTGGTGGACTGGCTGGCCGCACGTGGTGTGGTGCAGTGTCAGAACTCCCACGTCCTCCCCAGTCGTCTGGCCAGCGTGGAAGAGTAGGCCAAATACTTTCTGCATGGGGTGTCTCTAGCTGCCTCTAGTGCAGTGTTATTCATTGCAAGTTTCGTCGGCCGTTGGCGGCCCCTGGGGGCCTTTAGTGCGGCCCCTGACGCGTGGCCCCCCCGACAACACACAATTGTGAAAACACCCCCCATCATCATCATCATCATCGTGCTGCTGTCAAACTCCCAATAGTGTCAAATGTGTGGCGGGCCACATACACTGACGATGTCTTATCGGCGAAAGTGCCCTCCCCCCTCCTCTGAAAATTAGTGAAGAACAACTGCCCTAGTAGAAGCCCGTTGCCAGCAGTGCCGTGAGCAATCAACCGCGGGGCCACACCTTTACCTTGTTCTACAAAGGTTGATGATGGCATCGTGGCTCTACACAGGTTGATGATTGTTGACGGTAACGTTGGCGGTGTTTCCCAACTCGTTTTGCTCGCCCCCTCGTCCCCTCGCCGCGTGCGTCGCAGGCCAGGCGGCCGGAGTCCTGGGCGGGACGATAGCGGCGGCGCGGGCGCCAGCGGAGCTCGCAGAGCCTGCGGAGACGGTGGGGAAAACGCTGTCGGACACGGGGCGCTTCTCCTACGCAGCGCTCTGCGCCATCTCCCTCGCGTCGCTCTTGCCCACCGACAACCACAGGTGCGTGGCGAGGCGGCGATGGCTGCATCGTGGCTCAAACCCGTTGGCGCCGCCACCGCCACTACCACCACCGCCACTACTACCACCGCCACCGCCACTACTACCACCACCACTACTACCACCACTACTACCACCACCACCGCCACTACCACCACCACTACTACCACCACCACCGCCACTACCACCACCACCACTACTACCACCACCACCGCCACTACCACCACCACCGCCACTACCACCGCCACTACTACCACCGCCACTACTACCACCGCCACCACAACTTCCACCACCACTTCCACCACCACCAATACAGTACCAATAGCCGCCATTCGCCACGAAGTGACGGTGACGTCACCACAGCACCTGTGCGAGGCCAGGTGCACTTTGAGGCCACGTCGAGTGTCGAAGGCTCCGCTGGCAGGAGGTCACGGGACGGACTCGGTGCCATAGGTTGACTGCCTGATATAATTGGCGGATGCATCAGTTGTGTCAACTACCTCCACCACCACTACGACCACTACCACCACCACTTCGCTACCAACACTTCCAACCCTCCACCAGGTCCCGCAAATGCTGCACAGCTGTTGCACAGTAGGCAAGCAGCAGCCTCCACGATCTGCCTCGAGGGTGTTTTGCCATCTGCTCTTAGATCACTGAACTTGCGTAAACCGCTGCAATGCCTGTCGCGGTAGCTGGCCCCTCCGCCACCCAAACTTGAAAACTAATTTCTTGAGATCCGTGTTTAGTTTATTGTCCTTCCCCCGCACCTCCGACTTGCACGGTTGGCTGCGTACGGTGTGAACGAAGTTCAGCATACATACGTGCATACCCTGCACACACGTCCTATCCAGCGCGATGATATCGGCTCGTGCGCGGGAGATAGGTGTGTGGGTTACGTTGCAGGCCCACGGTATGGGGAAGGCCTTCATTCAGCAGTGGATTGATTGTTCGTGGCTGCTGATGATGATGACGACGACGAGGAGTATACTGACAGAGTGGGCATGACTTAAACATGAAAATAAGGTAGTGGGAAGTGCTTTGTCATTCAGTTTTTGTTGTTTCCAGTCGCTTTCACTTGGGGAGAAGTTAACATGCACACGAGTTTAAAGTTTAAACTTCTGTGAACTCAGTCACTGCGAGGAATGCGTAGGTTATCAAGTGTCACGCCAAGGTGGAATTATTCCAGTGAGATCCGGTTTGTTGAGTCCCTCCGTGCCACTGTTTACTCAAGCTTGCCGCCAACTCTATCCACAGAAACCTAATGCAGATAGATTATCGGGCGCAATTATTGGCATGGTGGTTGCCTGCGGATGGGACGTGAAGCAGCTGTGCCTCTTCTGAACCCCGACGCTAATGCCACGATTACCCAGTGTCCCACGCCGCTGTTGTGATGCCGCTGTCACTACTGGAGGCGTTTAAGTGTAAGCCGGCCGGGTGGCTCGGCTTTGGAGTGAGCGGCACAGAATCGGACAGTTGCAAGTTCACATCTCGCTTGGTGGTTGACTCAGCCCATCAGCGCTGCAGGGTTGATAAAATGCAGGGCACTTTGTGAGAAAGTCAATAGTGGTGGTGCTATGGTAGACTCACCCCGACGTAGAAATGTTGGATTTCCATCACTTGGCACTTGGCAACAGTAGCTAAACTAAAAGTAAACTATTTTTATTATACCAGCTAAGGCCCACTGGCAGTGGGGGGGGGGGGGGTTGGGTGGCACGTGCCCCCCCAATGATCCGATCGAAATCCCTCATTTCGATCGGATCATTGGGGTTTATCTCCATAGATATAAAAGGCAAAGTTGTGATTATGTGCGTCTGTTCAACATGTTTAGCGTACTTCCCGACATGCAACAAACTTTAAATTTGCCATGTGGGTACTTTCCAGACTGTACACCATGCAAAAATTATAAAAATACACTTTTTTGGGCGGGGGGGGGGGGGGAAGCTCAATAATGCATATATTTTTTGCACGGCAAGTGAGCTGTGACGTCAAATCTGTCACGTGACCCGCGCACGTCGTGGTTAGCGCGCTGCACTATGAACCCGGCGACCCGAGTTCGATTCCCACTCACGACCAACACTGGTGACGATTATTTGAACCGGTCCTGGGCCTCCCCTAGGTCGACTCAGCCTCAAACAAGTAACTGGTGTGTTGTGTGTGAACATCGCCACTGGGGAGACAAAGGTGGCCGGGCGTGGTGAATCCAAGTCCCGGGCGAAGCCGGGTAGTACAGCTAGTTAGTAATATATCGGCATTTTGCGACCCTCACTGCCACTGTGTAGCATATTATCATGTGCCAGGGACTCTATGAGATGATAGGATAATAGTCTGAGTCCATAATTGGCAATAAGTAATGGCAAAGCAGTTATAAGTGACTCACAGAATTATGCACAGTTGTGTATACAGTACACGACTTCCCTGAAGGCATTCACCTTCAGCGAGCGCGATGCCGATCACACACGGTTCAAATTCGACCCTCGATCGATGGCTGTGCCATCGCTGCACACGCGTCGAATAAAAAGCAAGGGACAATTCCTTACTTACTAACAACTCCTATAATTTTTCATTGCTGGAGGGGTTGCCCCCCTACCTGAAAATCCTGGCTCTTGCCATTGCCCACTGAGATATATATAGCTCTGTTTTTTTAATTGACCTGGTCACAAATAATAGCCTGATGAAGCGGTTGATCGCGTGGAAATTTACAGCAGCCACATACTCTCCGCGCATGATTCTAAATGCGGAGGAAAAGACTGGAGGACCCAGAGAAAAACCCACGCGACCACGGGGAGAGACGCAAACTCCAAATATACAGCAGGCATCAGGGTCACGCTCGAAACCGCGACCGTCTGTATACCAGGCGAGGAAATTAACATCTCGCCACCGTGGCGCCCATTAATACTGGTTTCTTAAGAGTTCATACTCTTAGTTCTTTCGGTAAAGTCACCATGTAGGTAAAAAATGAAATTAAAATTAATAAAAATAAAACAATAAAATCACGACGTTTCAGAGGCAACACAAGTCTCCGTCATCAGGTGGGACCGTCTCAGCCAGATTTACTGCATCAAGTGAGGGAAGGATTCAAGATGCAAGCTCTTAAATACAAGTTAGGGGGGGAGGAGAGGGGGGGAGGAGCTTATCAGAATGTGGTAGCCAATGAATGGAACGTATCGGGAGGGGGGGGGGGCTAAAAGAGGGCACGGGGTACTCGTGGGCGTGGACGTGTTTGTGCGCAAGTCACTATGGATGCACATGATAGAAAAGAAACGAAAATGCCCATGTTTATACCAGTGTTGGCTGACAATAAAGAGAGTACTGTTAAACGCTAGGGATGTTAACACTCGGTAAAGTAAAATAGTGCCTGTCAGATAAGATGGTCCAAAAATGTGTAGTTAAATCACCAACACCATCGGGTTAGGCACAATTGACCACGGGACGTGTCGCCCTGCAGCGAGTTCCGTAAGCGGTTCACGACGTCGCTCACCGAGTGGCTGGGCCTGCCCGCGACGGTGCTGCCCATCATGGAGGCGTTCGCCGAGGGCACGGGCGGCGAGGGCTCCGACTCGTTCGTCGATCTGATCGCTCGGGAGCTGGGACCGCGGTCGGAGAAGAGCGACGGGTTCATGCCGCTCGTTCAGGTGCGCGCGCCACGCACGTGTGCCGAGCCGTCTCTCGCTCGCGCCGTGGAGACGTTGTTACGAGGGCGGCTGCGCGATTGCGGACGCACGTTCACTCTTAAAGAGATGCGGACGACTTACTTGGACGTTGCGACGACCCACAGGGCACGGGGCAGCCCTCGTCCTCCAGCAGTGGACGGACAAACCGGGCTCTGCATTACCGTAGTCGTACGTGTGCCTCTGTGTGTACATCGCTTGCGGTGCATCTGATCGCGACAGATCGTGTGTTTGCATGAATGTTCATTGAACTTCTTTCACACCGTACGTATATATGTTTGAGCGGTTGAGCCTTCAGAGTAATTAGATGGGTAACCACCATGGATTAACAGGTGTTGTAGGCTCTTGAGATACGTTGTAGGCAATAGGAAAGAGCAGCGGAATGTATAGTTGTAACAGTACCGAGTTGCTCCTGTGCCTATGCTCCAACCTGTTTACCAACCAAAGCACTGGCCGGCCTGGTGAGATGTAGTGAAGCAACCTGCATGACTCGCACGGACTGGGGGGAGGCCTTCATCCGGCAGTGCGTTTTTACAACGGACTGTGCCTGCTTATGTACGTTTCAGGCGATGAGCAAATGAGATTTGTCGTGTCGTTTTGCGAGCAAGCCCTAATAACCGATACCGGAGCTGTGCCGGACAGCAATGCATGCTCGCTTCCCCTGTGCTCTGCCGCGCACAATGAAAGAATATCAATTGAAGAGTGTCAATGTTTTTGACCGATTACAATACAAAATAAAATGTCGTCAGAATCGAATGCGATTAACAACGTCCATTGATTATCTCTGTCCGTCTCTTGCAGGACCTTGTCATGTTTGCGCTGAAGGACGGTAGGTGCAACGTGATGTCATCGGGCTTGATCATCATCAACCTTGTCGCTCACTCACACCGTCTTTGCTCAGATGTTAAAGCAAAAGAAATGTTTTTGGCCGAATATTAAACTCTGGCGGGGCGAGTGGCAGGGAAATATTTTGCACGCTGCACTATAAGCCTAGCAAGCCTGAGTGCGATTCCCAGTTGGCTCATATGAGTCGTGACCAGTCCTGGGCCTCCCCTAGCTCGACTCAGCCTCAACTGAGTACCTGGTGCGGTGTGTAAAAACATTGCCATTGGGAAGACAAAGGCGGCCGGGCGTGGTGCTGCCCACCCATCCTTCCCGTGTGCCGTGCCGGGCTTCACAGCTGCTGTCCTAATTTTGGAGCTTTCGTGACTGCACAGAAACGACCTCTCTCTTTGTGCCGATGTGTCCTCTCTCTGTGTGTCCTTGTGATGTCTGTCTGCTTGTGTGTCTGTCTATGGTTTTCTAGTTAGATTTTTGTTGCTATTTATTTTATGCCTGATGATGATTGCTTGTGTTGCAATCGAAACGTCGTAATATGCTATTATTTAATTTATTATTTTATCTTTAGACGTGACTTTACCGAAAGAACCAAAGAAAGAATTCATAGCTGCTCCCTCACAGCACTTGCCCCGACAGTCTGGGAAGGTTACATGGAGGATATTTGTGCGCAGGCTGTTATGACGCCCGGGCGCACGTCTTGGTGCGTCACATCGCCTGGCTACTCCGTGTCCAGCCCGAGGATCTGGAGGACTTTGAGGACACTGTCGTCTCAAGCCTCAACTCCACGCCAAACGAGGAGACGCCGTGAGTGACCGCCCGTGCGCCCGCCAGCCCCCACCCTCTCGTCTCTTAGCGGCAGGAGTGGGGAAGCTACCCTACGGCCCGCGGGCTTTTATTTCACACGACTCACGGGCAGCCACGTGGGGTCCAGCCACCACGCGAAAACTTCCCGCAAACGATATTCTATCTACACCATTGGAACCTCATTTGCCAGTAAAAAATATGATAATTGTTTTTTTACCCTTCTATCTGGCAACAAAACTGACACCTTTTTTTTACAAGGAGTCATGTTGTAAAAAAAGGTGTCAGTTTTGTTGCCAGATAGAAGGGTAAAAAACCAATTAACATATTTTTTACTGGCAAATGAGGTTCCAATGGTGTAAATGCTTACCCCGAGCTCTCATACTCTGATGGTGCATTGTCTTTGAGTTGTGCGCCTTTTGGCGTCATCTGGTCCAACCCATGTGAGACTAGGCTCTAAGGAAAGCTGTCTCGGGTGTGGACCAATCAACTTCAAGGACAGTGCATACATCATCAGAGTTATGTTTTTTGTTTGCATTATGACTGCAGGTATTGTGGTCTATGCAAACATGACTCCTTGTAAAAAAATGGTGTCAGTTTTGTTGCCAGATAGAAGGGTAAAAAACCAATTATGATATTCTATCTCTTGCCACAAGCAACTTTAGCCGCACCGATCGGGTATTGGTAGGGGAATTAGCTGCACTCACTTTTGTCGGTGGTAATGCGTGGCTCTGCCAGAGGGAAGTGAGAGCTCTACTCGGCCCGCATGAAGGGAAACAAAATTCCCACCCCTTCCTCTGCCCAGCCCGCGATATCGTTCGGCTGCAAAGACAGCTGCTTGCCATCCTGACACTTTGTCATTGGTGCAAACAGCTCACAAGTCAACTATCAAATAATTATTTTCGTCCAATCGTTTAATTCGAGGTGCAAGTAACCATTCACCCGTAGGCGATAGCGATTCGGTCCAAGGATCGATTCTTTTTTGTTAACCTCGTGGTTAATGTAACGGCCACTCATGGCTGCCGGTGGTGGGGTGGGGGTCACGGCAACTCGCAGTGTATCGGCGTCACCATCAGCGATGGTCTCGCCACTGTTGGATGAAGGCATCCCTAAGCCATCGCCGTCTCTCACGGTCCCGCGATGCAACAATCTGTCCGGCGTCTGCACATGGCCACATTTCATAGCTCTCATCTCTGCAGCGAACGTCATCTAGGCTGCGTTCCCTTTTTTGGCTGCCACTCCCATCGGTGTGACCACCGTCCATTGTCCCTCCATGTGACGTGCAAGCGATGTAACAATCCATCTGGCACCTGCCCACCGGCTGGCTTGATCGCTCAATCTCCGCGGTGGACGTCACACTATACACACACACACGATTCCGGCAACATCGATTTCTAAGACGAGCGTTTCGACACGACGTGGCTCTTGAGCGTAGCATAACACTTACCAATCCATGATACCGGCGCAACCGCCACACCCACTGCATTGTATCATCCATCCCTATCGTCCTTCCATCGTTTACCTTTCTCGATTCAGCTTGCACCGTCACGTTCCTCGCACGTGGTTCTGGGAGGGCCACCTAAAGGCCCGTATCTCTCCCTGCGCGCGATAAGGCTTCTTCGTTGAGAATGTTGTTTCTCTCCTCTGCCGTGCCGCACGGACCTTGCGCTGGAGTTCCCACAACGTAAGTACACTGACCCCTTGCTCCTGAACGCTTTGGACCCTTCGCCGTTGATCCATGTCCCTCGGGCTTTACTTTGACGTACGTACGTTGAACTTCTTTCGCGCCGTATGTAGCCAACTGGCGCCAATCGAATGTTGCCACGGGTTGGCTTACGACGTCTCCTAAGCAATTGGAACGTCTTGTTTAGGGGTAAATTGTGGAAGTGGCCAGGCTGCTCGGAGGTCGGAGCGCTGAGCCGGCACCGCTGAGATCCTGGGTCAGAATTCCGGCAGCTGCTCGTGGTTCTCGTGCGTATTGCACCGATGCTCTCGCATGAAACACATTTGCTTCTGGATTTCATTCGGCTACATTTCAGGTCTGAGAATTAACTGTCGGGTCGATGTGTCACGTGCCGAAGATTGTCTCCGATATGCAAGAGCAGGTGGGAAAGCGTTGCCCCCTCTGCTGTGTGAAACAGAAGTCACTCGAACAGGATCCCATAGATAGCTCTGTGATATCCGCTTGCGTGGGCCGTTCTCCAATGTGAAGGGTCGCGCTGCTGCGCGAGAGATCCGAATGGATTCTTCACCTCTTGCCGCTACGACGCCGATAGCTCGGCGTGGATAAAATTGAGGATGAATTTGGGCAATAAATTAAAGAAGCAGAAATTCCGTTCGATTAACACCTCGGCAGCCACCCCCCCCGCACAGCTGCGGCAGATCACAGGGGCTGCGGCTGGCCAATCGAACGTCGCATCATCCATAGCACGCGCGGTCCGTTTGCAGTGTATTCGCTTGCAGTGCATCCGATTGTTTAATGCGAGGGACACTTAGAAAAGTCATCCGCACAAGCGGGAAAGAACGACGGAGCTAGGCATGTGTACAGGCTGTGGCAAGTCATGGCAAATGTCTGTTATCAAGTAGTAGGTTTTTACCCTTTGAACTGGTACAAAACTGACACCTTTATACAAGGCATCATGTTTGCAATAACCGCAACACAAGCAGTCAAAATGCAAACAAAAAGAAACAACTCTGATAATGGTAATGATATGCACCATTATCAGAGTTGTTTCCTTTTGTTTGCATTTTGACTGCTTTTGTTGCGGTTATTGCAAACATGATGCCTTGTATAAAGGTGTCAGTTTTGTACCAGTTTAAAGGGTAAAAACCTACTACTATATTTTGCCACTGGTAAAGGAGGTCTCATAGTGTCTGTTATCAAGTCCTGCAAAGGATTACGATTATTCTCAGGGCTTGATTTCTCATGGAATATTTTCTGGGGAGGGCTCCTAACCCCCTCTCCCCCAGAACCCCCCTCTCCTCTACCCCCAGTAACAGCAAAGGGAGGGAAGGGGTGGGACCTAAGGGGCGCTGGCTGAACCGAAGCCTCCGTCGTTCTGGTTATAGTGCCAGGCACGAGCAGTTGCTAGAAATGCCGTGTCGAGGAGAAGCGGGCGGCGTAGCTCGTTCAGGGCATCGCACGCCGGCTCACGAGGCCCCGGCTTGTCTAGGCTGCCTCCGGAGTGTGTGGCTTTCGGGAATGAGTAGAAAATCTGGACTACTATCTCGCCTGGTGTGTATTGTGGGTTCGATCCCGAACCTGATGCCCTGCTGGAAATTTGGAGTTTGCATGTTCTCCCCGTGACCGCGTGGCATTTTCTCCGGGTCCTCCGGTTTTCCCCTCCGCATTTAGAAACGTGCGTTCAAAGTGTTTGGCTGCTTTAAATGTTCACGCGATAAGCCACTTCGTTGGGCTTTCATTAGTGGCCACGTCACTTCTGAAAAAGAGCCATACAGCTCAAGTGGGCCTTACCTGGTAAAAAAAAAAAATTTGCAAATATGAAACGGGTACGTATGTATACTTTTTTGTGGGTGCACCTTTGAAATTGACAATGGGCGACGTGCGACCTGTGCAGGGCAGAGCTGGAAGCTCGGAAGAAAGCCGAGAGGAAGAGGAAGATCAAGAGGTACCTCCTCATCGGGCTCGCCACCACGGTGGGAGGGACCCTGCTGGGTACGCACGCCGCGCGACTTCCGTCTACCGCCGCGCCTGTCGTTCGCCGTCGCCTCGCTCGCTAACGACGACGACGATTCAGTCGTTTTGGTCGAGCCGCCCTCCCTTACGCGGGAACCGTTCACGCGCGGCAAGCGACGACTCGCACCTCGTCTAACAAACTTTGAAAGGGCACAACCCCCCCTCCCAATGGCAGCCGTCCCCGTGCAGCACAAGGAGACTCGGGACCCGGCCTGCAGTCGGGAATCGCTCTGCTGCTGCTGCTGCGTGGGTGATTTTGGGCTGTGGCGCTGGTGTACAATTGTCTGCTCGTCTATAATAATAATGATAAGCAGGGGGGTAAACAGGCCAGTTTAGAGAGGTGAGCCGTCAAGATATCTCGCCGGGGAGGCGAGGTGTTAAATACCTCGCCTATTTTGCAGGAGGTCGTGGATTTGATCCCGACCCTGACGCCTGCTGTATATTGGGAGTTGGCATGTTTTCACCTGTGGTCGCGTGGATTTTTCTCCGGGTCCTCCGGTTTTAGAATCAACAACACGTGTATTTGGCTACTATAAATTTCCACATAAGACACTTCGTTGAGCTATCATGTGTGGCCAGGTCGCTGCTGAAAAAGAGCTATATGGCTTATTTATCCATACCTGGTAAAATAAACAAATAGTTTAGTTTTAAATATAGCTAACGACTCTGATTGCCTTCTTGGCAAAGCCAAAGCGTTGTTCCGATGCCTGGGAGCTGCACAGTGGCAAAATCCCAATCACCTTAGGAAAGGAGCCTTGACCTCGGAGCATTTACAAGTGAAGGTGATCCAAAGGCGATCTCAGGGACCTCATTGGAGAATAAACATCGACCAGTTCCTGCACATCCCGGCATCGTTTTTGTTCATTGTCAAGTCGACGTGTGCCCATATTGTAGAGGTAGTGCACACGCCACAGTATTAACCAGGGTGGCCCGTTGGATTCGAGCCGCGGACCTCTGCGACGAGCGGCGAAGGAGCCGCTCCCAGAAAATGCGGCGCCAGTGTTGAACCACGCAGGGATTGTTGTTGAAAGGTTCCTCCTGAAGTATGTGTGGTGCGTTCTTCAGACCCTCCGGTTTGCTGCCCCATGCAAAGCGAAACGCTCGATCACGACTTTGCCTTGCCTTCCAAGTGGGGCTCGGGAAGGGGGGAACCTTGCAGATTCGTGTTGTACCTGCTCCGAGTTCCGGTGTGCATCGAGCGTCTGTGGAGGTTCAAGTAATATGGACGCCTGTTCCGCAGGCTGGAGGGAGAGGGGGAGGATTGAATCTCGTCTAATGACGAGGTCTCGTATGTACGTGTATGTATACGTACGTATGTTGAACTTCTTTCGGGCCTCACGTAGCCAACCGTGCTAATGGAAGGTGCGGGGGGGAGGACGATAAACTGAACACAAAAAGCAGTTCTTAGACTCACACAGATTCATTAAATGTCGCCCTTTCAGGGATAAAAATCAAATCGGGCAAATCGGCCGATTCAATGCGTCGTCACGATTCTGTTCCAGAGTGAACTGTCTTTCTTGTCTGGTGTTTACTGTCCCGTTTGTCTTGTTTGTCTGGGTTTTTGCAAATTTTCGCTCGTTGTGCCATGCCTCGTGCGTATCGCCCACCGCAGGAATATGAGCACATAATTTGCCTCCATTACGCAACCTATACTTAGACGGATCATGCAGTGCACGAATCGTGAGTGTCGGATTCTATTTGAATGCGTCGATGATGCCATTGCTGCCTCGCTACACGCATGAGCACGTCGTTTGCATTTAAATTCTATCTCTAATAATGTTTTGTCGCGCGCACGATTGGAACGCGCGTAACTGCGCGCGCCGCAGTAGGTTTTCATCATCGCCGCGCACCACTTCCTCAGTCGGTCAGCCACTTGTGTGGTGGAAAGTAGGTGAAGGCGCAGCACCTGCAATCGCTTTGTCACCCCACAGCTGGCAGAGAGGGACCTCCACTAGAGGGAGCTATAGAGAGCCCCTCTCGAGGGTATTTTTTTGGCCTACTCTTCCACATTGTCCAGGCGTCTTGATAAAGACGGGAGTATGCCCACACTTTACCCCACCTCACGCGAATTGCGTGAGGTGGGTGGACAGAGGTGGTGGTGATTTTTTTTTTTTACTTGCCCTCGCCGTTTCGATCACCGCGCTGGCCGATGGGACAAGGTGACCTCTGCACCGCAAGCCCCCGGCGCGTTGACCGTTCACACCGCGGCTGCTGCTACCCTTGGTGGATAGTCTTGGCGATGAAAACTTTCTACAGAGTGGCCTCTACAGAGTGGCTTCCAGATCTCGATAAAGTCACAGCATCGTCGTCGTCACAACCACAGTTATCGTGGCTCTTGTTAGAACAGGTGATGCACGCGCCCCCTCTCTGCTTTCATAACTCAATAACCCACAATACAGGTTTTTTTTGGGTTAGATCGCGTACATATAAATGTTTCGTTAAACCCGCCACCACCCGACACGGCCAACTAGTAAGGTTGGTCACGTAAACAGAACGTGGCCAATTCGTCACTAGTACAGCACTAGTGTATAGTGTATTGTAGTGTAGTATACTAGGACAGCACTAGTGTATAATGTAGTGTATATTAGTGTATTGTGTATAGTAGTATAGTGTATAGTAGTATATTGTATAGTGTAGTGTATAGTAGTGTAGTGTATAGTAGTGTAGTGTATAGAAGTGTAGTGTATAGTGTAGTGTATAGTAGTATATTGTATAGTGTAGTGTATAGTAGTGTAGTATATAGTGTAGTATACTAGTACAGCACACCGGTGTGTTGGAGAGCCAAGCCACAACTTTTACAATCTGCGTTTCTCCAGGAATTTCAACTGGCATCATGAGGCGGACAGCCAGATTTCATTAACACAACTAACCAGCCGTGCAGTTGCCCACACACAGAGTAGAAATAATAAACGCACGATTGTGACCACGCGATCGTTCACCCCATCATGCCTTGCATGCCACGTTGCATCTCTCTACTAGTGTCGATCATTGGGGCTCGCCAACAGCACTTGCCCCAACAGTTTGCTAAAGGCTATATGGGGGATCTTTGTTTTTGTGCATCTGCTATAGTACGGTAGTTGGCGCCCTACGCTACAAACCCGGCCGCCCATGTTTGATTCCCACACACGGTCAAAAACCGTGACAAATATCTTCTAGGTCGACTCAGCCTTAAATGAGTACCCGGTGCTGCGATATGAAAACATCAGCACTGGGAGAAACAGGCGGCGGGACATGGTCCTGGCCACACCATCCGCTCGTGGCAGCCTTCATAGGTGCTCACTCACAGCACTTTCTCCAGCAAGTCTGTTGAGGCTTTTTCGATTTAAAGCTTTCGTGACTGCAGGGATTCATCTTCTTGGTTCTTTCGGTAAAGTCACGTAGAATGGAAATAATAAAATAATAAAATAAAACATAATTAAATAATTCTCACGACGTTTCGGCTACGACGCAAGCAGCCGTCCTCAGGTGAAGAATGAAACACCACCAAGCTTGGAGCGTATATTTAAGCTGGGTTGGAGGTGGAGGCTATACGGAGATATTTGTCTTGTGTGTGTGTGTGTGCGTGCGTGTGTGTGTATGTGTGTGTGTGTGTCCATTTGGTACAGATATAATGGGAGGCTGATCGATGCCCGGGTGCGATCAAGGGATGGCTCCCTATTGGTCAACCACGTTATGTATGCCGATGATTTGGTAATAGCTGCTCATTCAGAAGAGGAGTTGGAGACGCTGCTGCTGAGACTGGAGCGTGCCACTAAGAGGTGGGGCCTTACCATCAGCCCCACCAAAACTAAGCACCTGCCTGGGTATTTTGTACCATCGGACACTCCACCCCCACAACTCCCAATTGGTGATAGGGCAGTTGTGGAGAGAGTGGAGAGTTTCCCATACCTGGGCAGTGTGCTTATGACCGGCTCCAGTTTATCAGCAGAGGTCTCACTCCGAATCAGTCGAGCGGCAATATATTTTCATCGGTTGCGTAACGCTGTGTGGAAGCTACCTGGTCTGTCGCTCCGCACGAAGCTTCAGGTCTTCTCGGCCACGGTCATTCCCTCCCTTCTCTACGCTTGCGAAACGTGGACCCCCCTGGTGGAGCATCTTCGCCGGTTGGAAACATTTAGGCTGGCCTGCCTACGATCCATCTTGGGTTTAACCAGGCTGGATTGTGTGAGGAGCTCACAAATCCTTGAAAGATCTGGGCAAAGTCCCATCAGTGAGCTCCTCCGGCAGGCAAGGCTGCGTTGGCTGGGTCATGTAGCCCGCATGCCCAGCCACCGCATGCCTAAACAGCTTTTGTTCGGCCGGATCGAGGGGGCTAGACGGGCGCGGCACGGGCTGGAGAAGAGATGGAGTGATGTGGTACAGGAGGACGTGGAGCTGAGTGGACTTGCCGATGACTGGTACCAGCGGTGTCAAGATCGGCCTCAGTGGAGGAGGCTCGTGAAGGACGCTACTGGGCAGTTGGAGGCAGTCGCCCTCCAACAACAACGGAGGGCGGAGGAGCGACGCTCACAACAACGAGCGGAGTGCCGGGTGGCTAAAGCACAGCAAGTTGGTACAGTAGGGGGCACAGGTGGTGCATCAGCCTGTCATCTCGGTCATCTCGGTCAGTCGACCCGTGGCACCTGGGTCTGCCCCGTGACCTCCTGCCAGCGGGCGTTCGACACTTCACGTGGCCTCAAGGTGCACTTGGCCTGGCACAAGCATCGTGGTGACGTCACCGCCACTTAGTGGCGAATGGCGGTTGTTGTTGTTGTTGTGTGTACGCGCTCCTGCAGGAGTGACGGGGGGACTGGCGGCCCCGTTCGTGGCCGCAGGTGCCGGCGCGGTCATCGGCGGCGCCGGCGCCGCTGTTCTCGGCTCCACTGCCGGCATCGCCGTCATGACCTCGCTGTTCGGCGCGGCCGGCGCTGGCCTCACCGGTGACTCGCGCACTCGCTGGGCTGTCTTACTCACGCGCTCGCTTGCTCGCTCGCGCGCTCACTAGCTCGCTCACTCGCTCACTAGCTTGCTCACGCGCTCACTAGCTCGCTCACTTGCTCACTAGCTCGCTCACTAGCTCGCTCGTGCGCTCACTAGCTCGCTCACGCGCTCACTAGCTCGCTCACTTGCTCGCTCACTCGCTCACTAGCTTGCTCACGCGCTCACTAGCTCGCTCACTTGCTCGCTCGTGCGCTCACTAGCTCGCTCGCTCACGCGCTCACTAGCTCGCGCGCTCACTAGCTCGCTCGCTCGCGCGCTCACTAGCTCGCTCGCGCGCTCACTAGCTCGCTCGCTCACGCGCTCACTAGCTCGCGCGCTCACTAGCTCGCTCGCTCGCGCGCTCACTAGCTCGCTCACTCGCTCACTAGCTTGCTCACGCGCTCACTAGCTCGCTCACTTGCTCGCTCGTGCGCTCACTAGCTCGCTCGCTCACGCGCTCACTAGCTCGCGCGCTCACTAGCTCGCTCGCTCGCGCGCTCACTAGCTCGCTCGCGCGCTCACTAGCTCGCTCGCTCACGCGCTCACTAGCTCGCTCGCTCACGCGCTCACTAGCTCGCGCGCTCACTAGCTCGCTCGCTCGCGCGCTCACTAGCTCGCTCGCTTACGCGCTCACTAGCTCGCTCGCTCACGCGCTCACTAGCTCGCTCACTAGCTCGCTCACTAGCTCGCTCACGCGCTCACTAGCTTGCTCACGCGCTCACTAGCTCGCTCACTTGCTCGCTTGTGCGCTCACTAGCTCGCTCGCTCACGCGCTCACTAGCTCGCGCGCTCACTAGCTCGCTCTCGCGCTCACTAGCTCGCTCCCGCGCTCACTAGCTCGCGCGCTCACTAGCTCGCTCGCGCGCTCACTAGCTCGCGCGCTCACTAGCTCGCTCGCGCGCTCACTAGCTCGCGCGCTCACTAGCTCGCTCGTGCGCTCACTAGCTCGCTCGCTCACGCGCTCACTAGCTCGCTCGCGCGCTCACTAGCTCGCTCGCTCACGCGCTCACTAGCTCGCTCGCTCACGCGCTCACTAGCTCGCTCGCTCACGCGCTCACTAGCTCGCTCGCTCGCTTGTACAGCGGTGAGCGCACTGCACTACGAAGCTGGCCACCGGAGTTCGATTCCTGCTCACGGCCAACATCGGCGACGATTATTTGAACCAGTCATAGGCCTCCCCTAGGGCGACTCGGCCTCAAATGAGTACCTGGTGTATAAACATCGCCACTAGGGAGACAAAGGCGGCCCAGCGTGGTCCTGGCACCCACCCCCTCCTGTGCCGTGCCGGTCTTCCTCGCTAACAGCACTTGCCCCAACAGTCTGTTGAGGCTATATGGTGGGGGGGGGGGGTCTTTGTCTTTGTTATGTTTGTATAGCGCCTTGTGATCTCCGTGTGAAAGGAGGCAGCATTAGTCCTGCTATGGCTTTGACTGATTGTGCACTTTAATTAATCTAGATTGAAAACTCGTTCCCTTCTAACTGCTTTTTGTGTTTAGTCTGTTGTCCCCCTCCCCCCCGCCGCACCTCCCATTAGCACGGTCGACTACGTACGGTGCGAAATACGTTCAACACACATACATACGTAGAAGTTTCGATTTAAAGCTTTCGTGACTGCAGGGATTCATCTTCTTGGTTTTTTCGGTAAAGTCGAGAAGGCAGAGTCTGAATGAGACTCTGCCTTCTCGACAGACCTGTTCTCCACCTGAAGACGGCTGCTTGCGTTGTGGCCGAAACGTCGTGAGAATTATTTTATTATGTTTTATTTTTATTATTTTCCTTCTACGTGACTTTACTGAAAGAACCAAGAAGATACGTAGAAGTGTAACTGATAATTATTATTATTTTATACAAGTGCGCGTGGCGTGCAGCAGCAGAAACCGAGAGACAACTCTGTTTTTCCGGCGTTGCTCAAGGGTACAAGATGAAGAAGCGCGTGGGGCAGGTGGAGGAGTTTGAGTTCGTGACCCTCACCGAGGGGCGCAAGTTGGACGTCACCATCGCCATCACGGGCTGGCTCTCCTCCGGCAAATACGGTAACGCGCACTCACGCGCGCACGGTGGCGCGGGGACACGCTCCTCTCTGCCACGAGATAAGTGGTAACGCTGCAGTGCTTGCCAGCAGCGTTTGCCCCCTCCCCTCCCCCCTCAGAGGGTCTGTCCTTATTGCAAAACACCTGGCGGGCAGTGTCGTGTAAGCGGCTTCTCTTACGAACAATAACTCGGGTACAACAGGTGCGTGCGTGTGTGTGTGCCCCCTATACAAAATTGGCACCCACCTGTCTGGATTATCGTTATGTAACCAAGGTGTGTCTGTCTGCCGTCGTGTGCGGCAAGGGCTCGCTTTTGAGAAGTCGGGTGGCGTTATGTAAGGCACGTGGCCATCGTGGAAGCGTGGGCCAAGAACACTGTCTGGAGGGGCTCCGTAAAACTCCCCCCTCGAGGCTGCAGAGGGCTCCCTCTACAGCAGGAACAGGTTCACCAACATTTGTCTGATTGGCAATTTGCGCGTGGTGGGGCAAAGTGTGGGTACTCTCACAGCCTCTTAAGATGTCTGGCCAGCGTGGAAGAGAGGACAAAAATGCCCTCCAGAGGGCCTCTCCAGTGCTCCCTCTAGTGGAGGCCCTTCTGCCAGCAGTGGCATGAGCAAGCAATTGCAGGGCTGCACCTTTGTCACTTCTCCCCAGTGGCGATGTTTACACACCACACCAGGTACTCATTTAAGGCTGAGTCGACCTAGGGGAGGCCCAGGACCGGTTCAGATAATCGTCACTAGTGTTAGCCGTGAGCGGGAATCGAACCCGGGTCGCCAGGTTCATAGCGCAGCGCGCTAACCGCTACACTACCGCTCCCCACACACCACACCAGATACGGATTTAAGGCTGGCTCGACCTAGGAGAGGCCCAGGACCAGTTCAATTATTCGCCACTCTCATTGGTACTGAGCAGTAGTCCAACTCGCGTCGCCGGGTTTGAGGCGCAGCGTGCTAACCACTACGCCACTGCACCCCATACACGCACGTTAACAAAACCACCCCACGTGGCTCTTTAACAGACTGCCCGAGCAAGCACTGTACTGTCAGCAAGCACCTACGAATGGTGACACGGCACACGAGAGGGGGTGGTTAGCTAGCACCACGCCCGGCCGCCTTTGTCTCCCCAATGCTGATGCTTACATAAGGCACCACGTACTCATTTGAGGCTAAGTCGACCTAGGGGAGGCCCAGGATCGGTTTAGATATTCATCACCGATGTCGGCCGTGGATCGAACGCAGGTTGCCGTGTTCGGAGCGCAGCAAGCTAACCGCCGCACCACCGCTTCCCAAACAGATATACATACAAAGACAAAGATCCCCCGTACAGCCTTAGGGCAAGTGCAGTGAGTGAGCACCTGTTGAGGCGGATGCTGGTGCTGGTGTTTTCTCACCGCACCACCGCGTGGCTGCGTCAAGTGCCCTGTGAATGCACGAAACTGCAGGGGGCGTCGGAGCACGCGTTGAATTGACGCGGCGAATGTGAATTCAAACCCCTGTCTCCGTGTCTCCCTGTGTCTTCCCGTCCCCCTGTGTCTCCCTGTCTCCCTTTATCCCCCTGTCTCCCCGTCTTCCTGTATCTCCATGTGTCTCCCTGTGTCTCCCTGTGTCTCCCTGTGTCTCCCTTTGTCTCCCTGTCCCCGTGTCTCCCTGTCTCCCTGTGTCTCCCTATCCCCCTGTGTCTCCCTGTGTCCCCCTGTGTCTCCCTCTGTCTCCCTCTGTGTCCCTGTGTCTCCCTGTCTCCCTCTGTCTCCATGTGTCTCCCTGTGTCTCCCTGTGTCTCCCTGTGTCTCCCTTTGTCTCCCTGTCCCCGTGTCTCCCTGTCTCCCTGTGTCTCCCTATCCCCCTGTGTCTCCCTGTGTCCCCCTGTGTCTCCCTCTGTCTCCCTCTGTGTCCCTGTGTCTCCCTGTCTCCCTCTGTCTCCCTCTGTGTCCCTGTGTCTCCCTGTCTCCCTCTGTCTCCCTCTGTGTCTCCCTGTGTCTCCCTGTCTCTCTCTGTGTCCCTCTGTGTCTCCCTGTGTTTCCCTGTGTCTCCCTCTGTCTCCCTGTGTCCCTGTGTCTCCCTGTCTCCCTCTGTCTCCCTCTGTCTCCCTCTGTGTCCCTCTGTGTCCCTCTGTGTCCCTCTGTGTCTCCCTGTGTCTCCCTGTGTCTCCCTCTGTCTCCCTCTGTCTCCCTCTGTGTCTCCCTGTCTCCCTCTGTCCCCCTGTCTCCCTGTCTCCCTCTGTCCCCCTGTCTCCCTGTCTCCCTCTGTCCCCCTGTCTTCCTCTGTCTCCCTGTCCCCTCTCCTAGGGAGCTTTGAGACCCCCTGGCGGTCCCTGCACCACAGCCGTGAGCAGTACTGCCTCGTGTGGGAGTCCCAGTACCTGCGAGCGCTGGGCCGTGCCATCGACTCCATCATCAACGGGCTGCTCAGCATGGCGGCGCAGGAGGCCCTCAAGCTCACCGTGCTGTCCGGTGAGACCCACTCTGACCGCAGCGGGTAGCCTCGGGACAAGCGCTGTTAGCGAGTGGCACCTGTGAAAGCCGGCAATGGCGTGGCGTACGAGGGGGTGAGTGGGCAGCACGACGCCCGGCCGTCTTTGTCTCCCCAGTGCCGATGTTTACACAAGGCACCAGGTACTGATTTGAGGCCTAGTCGACCTAGGGGAGGCCCAGGATCGGTTTAGATAATCGTCACTGTTGTTGGCGGTGAACGGGAATCGAATTATGGTCGCCGGGATCATAACACAGTGCGCTAACTGCTACAACACAGCGCTTGCACTCTTACACGCGTAGACATGGACGGACGGGACGGACCTTTGCCGGCAATCCACCGCTGGGCAAATCGAATCAAACGTTCGTACGTTCAAATTAATGACGTCCATTTTTGGAACAGAGAGGAAGAGGTTGGACGTCCAGAATAACCACCCCTCCTCTCCTCCCCCTTAACTTGTATTTAAGAGCTTGCATCTTGGAATCCCTGCCTCACTTGATGCAGTAAATCTGGCTGTGACGGTCCCACCTGATGACGGAGACTTGTGTTGCCTCCGAAACATCGTGATTTTTTTATTATTTTATTTTTTATTAATTTTAATTTCTTTTTTTTTTACCTACGTGACTTTACCGAAAAAACTAAGAGTATGAATCCTTGCAGTCACGAAAGTTTCAAATCTAGAATTAATAACCACCCCGTTTGAGACCCAAACATCGCACCTCCTGACGTTTTGAAATTTCCCCCCCCTCCTCCTCGTCGAAGACACCGGTGGTGTCGCCATCAACTGCGTCAGAACATCAGCAGCAGGCCGATGCTGCACCACAACTCCTCCACAAATGCAAGATTGACGACACGAGCCATATTCTTGCGATAGTGGCCATGCAACTCAAAGACGCACGCACAATACCTGCCACCCACCCCCTCGTGTGCTTTGCCGGCCTTCCCAGGTGCTACTCGATAACAGCACTTGCCCCACAACTCTCCGTTGAGGCTACACCGGGGGGGGGAGATCTTAGTCTTCGTGTGGCCGTGCGTGCGCGACCAGGCATCCTGGCCGCACTCGCGTGGCCGTCGTCGCTCCTCCTCGCCGCCAACATCATCGACAACCCGTGGGACGTGTGCCTGAACCGCGCCGCCGAGACGGGCAAGCAGCTGGCGCGCGTGCTGCTCTCGCGCCAGCAGGTGAGCAGGGGAGAGAGGGGCGGGTGGGCGAAACGTCGGACGTCGTACCAAAAGGCACGCGGCACAAAGCGAGCGCGCGTCGTCGGTTGCCGTAGCTCCTCCGTCTGCCGCGACGATCGTCGCGCGGCGGGCGCCCGAGGCTCACCGGTGTGCCGTCCGCTTGTTGCCGCCACAGGGCAAGCGGCCCGTGACTCTCATCGGCTTCAGCCTGGGGGCGCGCGTCATCTTCTACTGCCTCGAGGAGATGGCCAAGGAGAAGGGTACGGAGTCTGCGACATCTTCCTCCACACCTCCCCCCCCTGTCCCTCTGCTCCTTACCGTACCTCCCCTGTACCCCTTTCGTGTCATTCGTTCTCCGACACCCGGAGCACGCCGCTGCCATCTACGTCATTCCATTCAGTGTCACCATTTTGTCAGCTACGGTATGTCCAGCGCCTTCAGGTACTCATTCAAAGCGTCGTTGAACTTCTCTCACACCGTACGTAGCCAGCCGTGCTAATTGGAGATTCGATTATTGTTAGCGAGGCTCAGGGAGCCAGACGAAGGCTCCCTCTCGTGGGTTCTGCGTCCACAAAGCTCACCCTTTCTCTATTGCCCATTCTCTTCTCTGCCCCTGTCCCTCCACTCCTTGCCATCCCTCCCCTAATAGCCCTTTTGTGATCTCTAAGTACCCCTCTATCGCCGTCACTCGTTCCTCGATTCTTGTAGCATGTCCTTAAACATCTACATCATTCCGTTCTGTCATTGTTTTGTAAGCTACGTCAAGCGCCTCAAGTGAAGGCGCTCTATAAATGTGTGTATGTTGAAATTCTTTCATATGTAGCCAATCGTGCTATTCGGAGATTAGATTTGTATTCTTATCACTGAGGCTCAGAGAGCCAGAGTGAGGTACCTCGTGTATTCTTAGGGATAGTCGTGATTGCCCAAGGCTCAGAGAGGCAGTCTAAGGCAGCTTTTCCATCGCCACGCTTGTTTACATTTTACGAACAAGGTCGAGTAATTATTAAGCTGTTCGAGAGAATGAGGTTATATTAGTTCGACCTTGTTATGTACTGTGATAGGTTTTTACCCTTTCAACTGGTACAAAAACTGACACCTTTATACAAGGCATCATGTTTGCAATAACCACAACACAAGCAGTCAAAATGCAAACAAAAAGAAATAACTCTGATGATGATAATGATATGCACTGTCCTTGAAGTTGATTGGTCTACACCCGAGACAGCTTTTCTTAGAGCCTAGTCTCCATTGGTGTTGGACCAGATGACGCCAAAAGGCGTACAACTCAAAAACAGCGCACTATCAGAGTATTGAGAGCTCGGGGTAAGCATTTACACTATGAGACCTCCTTTTGTACCAGTTGAAAGGGTAAAAACCTATCACTATATTTTGCCACTGGTAAAGGAGGTCTCATAGTGTTGTTATGTACTGTTTGTGTATGGGCAGAGGCAGATGTTTGGCTGTGGCAAATGGCATCTGTAGCTGACCTGGGCCTCTATAAGTCAACTTATTAGAGACCTGGGCCTCTATAAGTCAACTGGATATGAGGCTAGTTGGGGATCTCAGAGTCGCACACTTCACTAAAATCCTGGAGTCCCAGATTCAATTCCTAGCTCATAATGCAAGACCCCAGTAAAACGGGTCGCTTGCTGGTGTTGCTGCAAGGTCAAAGTCTGCACGCGGGAGACCGAGACGACCCGTCTTGTGCGAATGGCGCCAGCCACACCACTCCTCCCTGTTTAGAGGCCGGGTCGCCAACGGCGCTAGCCGCAGTCATATATTCGGGCTGATTTGCGTTCTTGCGGAGGGCTGCTGTCGGCTCAGATTACGGCCGTCACCTTCACTCAATTGGCACGAGGTTTTGGGCGCAAGTATCATCCCGTGCGCGTGTCGGGAGCGGTAGTGCAGCGGTTAGCGCGCTGCGCTACAAACCCGGCCACCCGAGTTAGATTCCCGTGCACGACCAACACCCGTGACGATTATTTGAATCAATCCTGGTCGTCCCCTAGGTCGACTCGGCCTTAAATGAGTACCTGGTGCGATGTGTAAACATCACCACTTGGTAGACAAAGGCGGCCGGGCATGGTGCTGGCCACCCACCCCCTCGTGTGCCGTTTGCGGCCTTCATAGGTGCTCGCTAACAGCTCTTGCCTCAAGAGTCTATTAAGGCTACACGAAGGGGTGTCTTTGTGTGTGTGTGCAACACGCGCGTGTGCTCGTCCGCACGTGCTACCCTCCCGTTGCCGTGGCGACGGTCGCCAGGCTGCGAGGGCATCGTTGAGGACGCGGTGCTGCTGGGAGCGCCGGTGCAGAGCTCGGCCAAGCGGTGGGACCCCATCGCTCGAGTCGTCTCGGGCCGCATCACCAACGGATACTGCAGGCACGCTCACCGCGTCGGCACCGCTTCACCGGGGGTGGGGGGGAGGAGGGGAGGGGGGGGTGGTGGTGGTGGGGGGCATCCTCGCAGTGTCACGCGGCGACGCGTCGTTGGCGTTGCTGTGACTATCTCGGAATCACCATTGGAACCTCATTTGCCAGCAAAAAATATGATAATTGTTTTTTTTACCCTTCTATCTGGCAACAAAACTGACACCTTTTTACAAGGAGTCATGTTTGCATAGACCACAATACCTGCAGCCATAATGCAAACAAAAAAAATATTATCAGAGTTATGTTTTTTGTTTGCATTATGGCTGCAGGTATTGTGGTATATGCAAACATGACTCCTTGTAAAAAAAGGTGTCAGTTTTGTTGCCAGATAGAAGGGTAAAAAAACAATTATCATATCTCGGAATCCATGCGTGTGACCCTCTTAACCCCCCTTCCACCCCACCGACCGCGGCTCGCAGGGGCGACTGGCTGCTCAAGTTTCTCTACCGAAGCTCCTCGGTGCAGCTGAACGTCGCCGGCCTGCAGCCAGTGTGCACGGACAGCCGCCAGATCAACAACGTGGATCTCTCCGCAGTGGTACGCGGTGTGGGGGAGGCGTGGGAGGGTAGCGGGTCATTTGTCCGCGGTTATCCTGCAACGCCGCCTTCCGAACCACTCTCCCTCCGACTAAGCGGGCGGTGGTGGTGATGATTCTAGATTTGAAGCTTTCGTGACTGCAAGGATTCACACTCTTAGGTTTTTTCGGTAAAGTCACGTAGGTAAAAAATTAAAGTAAAATTAATAAAAGTAACCGTCACAGCACGATTGCTTGATACAGCAATTGCTTGATACAGCAATCGTGCTGTGACGGTTCCACCTGAAGACGGAAGCTTGTGTTGCCTCCGAAACGTCGTGATTTTTTATTTTACTTTCATTAATTTTTATTAAATTTTTTACCTACGTGACTTTACCGAAAAAACCTAAGAGTAGGTGGTGGTGATGGTCTGTGGGAAGGCACGTCACGCGGTCTGGTGTTAACCGGTAACGAACGACCTTTCCCCACGCCCGTGACAGGTGAACGGCCACATGGACTACATGAAGGAGATGGAGACCGTCCTGCGAGCCGTGGGCATTCGCACCCGCGGGGAGGCCGTGGTGACGGCACAGTCGCTCGGCGGATTGGTGGCATCTGGCTGCTTGGACCAGCCCCCCCCAGACGAGCCCCCCACAGACGAGCCCCCCGCAGAACAGCCCCCCACAGACCAGCCCCTCACTGACCAGCCCCCCACAGACCAACCTTCCACTGACCAGCCTCCCACAGACCAGCTCCCTTCAGACCAACCTTCCACTGACCAGCCCCCCACAGACCAGCCCCCTACGGACCAGCCCCCCACAGACCAGCCCCCCACTGACCAGCCCCCCGCAGTTGAGGCCTCCTCGGACGCCCCACCGCCTTCTTCGCTCGCCAGTGACAAGAGGGAACCTCGAGCGACGCTCGCGACCGACGGCCGCGACGCCGACCGCGAGGACGCCGGCGGTCGCTCAGCGGCGGCGGCGGCCGAGGATCGTGGAGCGGCGAGCAACGGAGGGCCGCCGCCTGCGGGACAGCCGCCGGACGAGCAAGCCGTGCGCGTCACAGAGACAGACGCCGACGAGATGGGGACGGGAACGACTGGAGCGGCGCTCGCGACCTCCGGCGGCGGTTGCGGGAGCGGCCGATGGTCAGGAGGCGACGACGGGGGCGAGGCAAGCGGCGGAGGGACGTCCTGGGGGGCGGCGCGTGCGACGGCGAGCGGCCAAGCGGAACGCGCCGGGAGGATGGGCCCGGGCAGCTCCTTGGACGCGCCGGACATCCTCGGCGCCTTCGACGCGACGCATTTTGGCGTCGCTTCAGGGGAAAGGGCTCCAGAGACGACGCCGGTGGCGGCGGCGGCTGCGGTCGAAGTGACGGACTGCGGCTCCGGTGAGCAGAGAGTGAAAATGGCTCGTGGCGACACAGATGAGAACTTCAATAAATCCGACTGAGCACAGCCGGTGATGCCGCCGCTTCCGCTGCTGCTGTTGCCTGCGGCGTCTGAAGGTTGCAATTGGCAAGGTAAGCAGGCGTGAGCCTGTAGGAAGCCGTCGTGCGTGTGGGTGCCTGTGCGAGTGGATTTGACGTGCGTAGGCGTTGGATGAGTTCGAGTCGCGGGGAAACATGCTTTGTGGGCTCACCGTTTTTATTTTAGAGATCATGGCGCGAGGGTTCGGTGTCGGGTAGTGCTACTACTGTTATTTTAATGGCGCCACCCATGTGCCAAGTCGGTGCCACAGAGGTGGGGGGGGGGGGGCGACATCAGAAACAACAAATCTGGTTTATAGCTTCACGGTGTGTCTCTAAAACTGTCGAGAGCTTTAGATTAACAAGGAAGAGTAATTTCTCTACCTATGTTGAATTTTTTTTCGCACCAGTACGCAGCCAACCATGCTGTTTATAACAGGTGCATGTAAATATTCCTGAAGCTCAGACTCAGAATTAGGATATTTATTTATACTGGAGGAATCCGATGAGCTATGCAGCTCTTTTTCACAGATGTCCGGTAGGAGCACGGCTCTCCGACAAACAATACAAAAACATGATAGTAGTGCCAAATTACCGGAGAGGCAAATAAATCGCTGAAACATCCCCATCCTGCCAGGCAAAGCTCACCGGGGCATTAACTTTCTTTCCAGAAGCGACCTGGCCACAATTGATAGCTCGACAAAGTGGCCTTAACACGTTCCTTCGGAGTGGGCAGGTAGGAACTTGGTTGGACAGCGCATTCGTGAGATCCGTGTCACGCGGCGCGTCACGTGGTGCTGAGCCCGCCCGAAGCGCGCTATGACATACAAATCGAGGGCGTGGCAATGCACGACAGACAGACAAATAATCCCTGGTGGGCAGTGTGGAACTGTTGTTCCTACCTGTACCATCATGTGGGCATTTTCCAGAAGCGACCTGGCCACAATTGATAGCTCAACAAAGTGGCCTTATTATCATGTGGGCATTTATAGCGGCGAAATAGTCGAAATAACCTCAACGCACGAGCCCCTTTGCGTCCGACGCGACCTCCATCGCCGGGCTCTGAATTAATCTCGGGGGCCGGGGGCAGCTGGCGCTGAGGGCGAGAGCGCCGTGCCTACGAGCTTGTGGTGGTGGTCGTTTTTGGGGTATTCTTGCACTTTGTAATTTGAGGGGCTTAAAAAAAAGATTCCTTCACCCCCCCCCCCCATCATTATGGACTCTGAAAGAGGTGGGGGGGGTTATCTTCGTCCTTTGCTTCTCTTACGTCCGTCTTGAATTGTCTGCACTTTTGTCTTATTAAAAGGAACTAAATAACGTTTTTGTTTTACTAGGTATATAGATTTTTTCTCCAGAAGCAACCTGGCCACAAATGATAGCTCAACGGAACGCATGATTCTAAATGCGGGGAGAGAGGCACATGCAAACTCCAAATATACAGGCGTCACAGTCGGGATCGAGCCCACGACTTTCTGTATACCAGGCGAGATAGTTAACATCTCGCCACCGTGGCGCCCGTTAAATAACTGGCTTCTAAAAAAATTGGGTTTCTCCCCAAGTTATAATAATAACAATTAATTGCGTTCATAAAGCGCCTTCTGCAAGTTACTCAGGGTACTGTTGTTCTTAGCAATAAATAAGTCGTATATAAACACTGGACAGGGCGTTCATAGCCGGCGGGCGGGGGGGGGGGGAGCATCACTACACTGGGCAGGGTGTTCATAGCCGGCGCGGTAGGGAGCAGCGTAACACTGGGCAAGGTGGGAAATCAATAAAATAATACAAATATTAAACAATAAAAGAAAAAATTATTGCTGTGGTTTTCCCACCTGATGATGATGATTGCTTGTGTTGCAATCGAAACGTCGTGATTTATTTTATTTTCTACCTACGTGACTTTACCGAAAGAACCAAAGAGTATGGATTCCTGCAGTCACGAAAGCTTCAAATCTAGACTGGGCAGGGTGTTCATAGCAGGGGAGTGGCGGGGGGGGGGCAGTGCAAGAGAAACCACGTTATAACGGTGTGCGTTCTGCAAAAAAGTGTTCGCTAATAGCGATAAACACCGCGTTGTGTGAGCACGCGGTAAGCGAGCACTTGCCGTGCGTGCAAAGCCAACAAAATGTTTTATTTTGTTACGTGTGCAGTCGTTCTCTCGCTCGCAATACTTGAGAACGCCGTTTAGTCGGAGGCGGCCACCACGGGTTTCCTTCCTTCGTGCTGTTATTTTGGGGTTGCTTTTCAGTCCGTCATTTTTTTGTGTCACCTTTCAAGCAGTCGGATCGAGCGCTTAAAACTGTGTCCCGAGTCATTTTATGTCCAAATTTTCAGCTTTGTCCGCGTTTGTGCGTCGAAAGGCTGCCGGGTGTGGTTGCTAGCAACACTCCCGCACCTCCTTGTGCGCCGTGCCGGACTGGGCTCCGTGGGTACTTGCCGACGCAGCACTTGCAACGACAGCCTGTAATGTTATATGGAGGATCTCTGTTGTGTTCACGGGAATTAGTGTTTTTTTTATTGGTTTATAGGCATGTAATGATGCGACGATTTGGTTGTTATTTCACTCGCGCCGCGCGCAAAAACAGTTGTGTGCACAACGACTGATTACTCGCGATTTTTGCAAATATTATGCTTATGCTAGGTTCAGTCTAACTAAGCGAGAGGAAAAAAAACCGTACGGATGTCACAGAACACAAACGAGACCGTAACATTTGAATGAAGTGTCTTCTCTCACTTGCGCCGCACAACTCTCCGACGTGTTTCCGTGTCGTTACCCGCGTGTCGTCTGGCCCGATGTCTGACGGTTTCGCTCCTCGTGCCAAAGAAAAGCGCCCAGCAGGTGGAGCGGAACGTCCGTGCCAAACGTCGCGCGGGTAACGACGGACCCCCGGAAAACAGCCGAGAGATTTCTTAACCGATGATCGAACCCGAATCGCAACCCAGATTCGTGACAAGGGGGGCGATAATCGTGAGATGCCGTTTGGTTTACTACTGACCCTCGCCATCTGGGTTAATTCTCTTGCCATAAAAATTACCAATGGCAGTTCTCATTTTGAAGTTCACGTGGACGATCTTCCTGGTTGACTCAGCCTCATGCCATGTGTCACCAGCACAGGAGGGGAGACAAAGACTACGACTGGGTGCCAATAACCACAGCTTTTGTGTGCCGCGCTTGCCTCGATAGGCGCTCGCCAACAACAACCTTGGAAATGAGAAATCGGGAGTTGAAGTGAGACTCTGTTAGCCCCCCTTTGTTCGTCACTCGGCGAAATGTTCAAACGGCGTTATTTTTCCTGTTGTAATCAATGCACTATTAAATATTATTGTCGAATGTAGTTTTTTAAAATATATATATTGTGAAACCGAAGCTGTAACAGTTGAAATAAATCGTGGCTGTAATTGTTCGTTTCTTGGGGTGTTTTTGTTCAAGTGAGATTGTTAAGAGAGCGTTTAAGGCCTTTGCCATCGCCATCATCATCACCATCAACTCTTCATCTCCACTCTCTTGCTTGGGCACCAGTTGGCGCTGCAGTGGTGATGCTCGTGCCTCGCGGCAAGAACGAAACGGCTGGGTTCGGTACCCGGCTCGGTAGTTTCTGTGTTGGTCCCCGCTGTTGTTGCACGGTTTCTCCCGGGGTCCTACACACGCAACCGGTATCGAGTTGCTGCCCCCAAGTGGGACGTCGCACTGGCAGCGGAAACATTGCCGCAGACTGCGAAAACTTGGCAGGACCCTCCCCGAATACGAATCTTGGCGAGGCTTTCCTGGGTAAACAAGCGGAATGATAATAAATAAATAAATACAAGATAAATGATCTCGGCAGCAGTTCTGTAATATCCGCTTCCGTGGGCCGTTCTTGCGAATTGGCCCTTCACAGCACGACGCCGACAGCGCGATTGGAATGACACCCGCACGGATACGAATATGGGTTCTGTGAAAAGTTTAGAAAATATATATAAGTTGGATGGAAAGGTTAAAAAAACATTGAGAGAGACAGAGAAAGTTCCTGCGCCAGGTGGACTCATTCTGGATGAGGAAGAACATCTGGATTGGACAAGTGGCGGTCGTGAGAAGGAATGAGCTGTGAGGAGGTGGTTGGACACGTGGTGGTAGTGAGGGGGAATGAGCTGTGAGGAGGTGGTTGGACACGTGATGGTAGTGAGGGGAATGAGTTGTGAGGAGGTGGTTGGACACGTGATGGTAGTGAGGGGGAATGAGCTGTGAGGAGGTGGTTGGACACGTGGTGATAGAGGGAATGGACCGTGAGGAGGTGGTCGAGTTAAGATTATTTTGAAACAGCGAGGGGAAGTAAAGGCCGATCCTGGGCAACGAAGAGAGGCAGCGGCGGCGGAGGAGAGCCAATGGAGAGGAGAATCCGTGACTGGAATCTCAGCACGGAGGAGCACGTGACACGTGAACGCAACACCAAGAAGGGAGAGTGCGTCCCTCTCTGTGTGCACCGTGTTAGCACGTGAGATGTTTTATTTTACTTTTTCTGTGATTTTTTTTTCTTCCCCAGCCCCATTTTTCCAAAGTTCACGTCCCAAAAACGATTTTCTCTCTCTCGCTCTGTCTCTGTCTCATTCTCTCTCTCTCTCGTTCTCTCTCTCGGTGTCTCTCTCTTTTTTTACGATCAGTGGAAACAAGAAGATGCTCGGTGTAGTCGGCACTTTGCTTCGTTCATCATTTCGTATTTTTTTTTACTTTGCTTTATGTAAACCCCCCTCTCCCTCACTCTCTCGCTCACTCTCGTTCTGCACGCAGCCCTTCTCGCAGTCCAACGGCCTCCGACGGGTAGCTCATATCAGCATGCAGAGCTCCCCGTCATCTGCCACCGAGCACACGGCCTCCTCCATCGCCCACTGCTCCTTGAAGGTCTCGCTGTCTCTCTCGCTCTCTCTCTCGCTCTGTCTGTCTCTCTCTCTCTCGCTGTCTCTCTCTCTCGCTGTCTCTCTCTCTCGCTGTCTCTCTCTCGCTGTCTCTCTCGCTCTGTCTGTCTCTGTCTCTCTCTCTCGCTGTCTCTCTCCATAGGAGCGGCAGCTTCGCGCGATAGGTCCCGACCGAGGCTGCCCGCGCATACGCTGCAGATGGAGAACATCTCCGATGAGCGCGTTTGGCTACGTACGGTGCGAAAGAAGTTCAACGTACACACATGCGCCCCTCCTACACGTTATAAAGTACATACACAATCCCGCGGCCTGGGTGCGTGCACCCCCGTTGGGGTTTTTTTTTCTCGAGTCATCTTCGTGCCCAGTTTTTATCCCTTCTCTTTTTTTGTTTGTACAAAACCTCTCCTCCTACCCTCTCCACCCCCACCCCACTGTCCACCCCGCCTGTCTCCACAGAGCGCACACGCCTGATATTAGATGCAGATGTGAATGGTGTGCGGGAATCTATGAGCGTGCGTGCTTCTCTTGTTGACGCACGTGTGTGTGTGGGGGGGTGTGCGGCGTGGTGCTGACCACACGCCCCCACGTGTGCCGTGCCGACCTTCATAGGTGCTGCTGCTCGCTAACAGCACTTGCCCGAGAAGTCTGTTGAGGCTACACGGGGGATCTTTGTGCAACGTTGGCGGGGAGCAGCGGCGCAGTTTTTAGAGCAATGCGCTATGAACCGGTTCAGATAATTGGTGACAATTATCTGAACCGGTTCTGGGGCTCCCCGAGGTTTGACTCGACAACAAATGAGTACCTGGTGCGGTGGTGTGTAGTCAACATCACCACTGGGGAGACAAAGGCGGCCGGGCGTGGTGCTGGCCACCCACCCCCTCGTGTGCCGTGTTTGTCCAGCCGTCATAGGTGCTACTCGCCAAGAGCGCTTGCTCGAGGCTACATGGGGGGGGGAGGGGGGGTCTTTGTCTTTGTGCGAGCGTCAACTAAAGTGTGCGCGCGTACAAAAAATATCAAGAAGAAGAAAAAACAGCCGCGATGTTGAAAACCAAAAAAAAGTTTTACTCTTTTGACCAAAAAAACTTTGGCCAAAAGTCTCCCGCAGAGATCACAACATTGGTTAGAGAGTCATGGAGACGCTCGCAAAATATCAGCCCGCTTCGTGTGATCTCAGCCCGAGAGCAAGCCACGATTATTTTTTTTATTCCTTTCTTTCTTAAAAACGAAGAACTAAACCGTGATGGGTTCGTTTGCCCCCCCCCCCCCCCCCATTGTTTGAAATACGGGCGGCAGTGGCAGAAAAATATCTGGGGGGGGGGGGTGGAGGCGGGGGGGGCCGTTTCGTAACGAAGTTGCTTAACGTGTCACGATTTGGGGGTTTCTCTCTCACACCGATCCGGTGACATGGCAGTCAAGTTGTGAACTTTTTAAAACTTTATATTTTTTTATTTAAAGCTTTCGTGACTGCAGGGATTCATATTCTTGGTAAAGTCACGTAGAAGGGAAACAATACAAAAAACTAAAATAAAAAATAAAACAATACAATTTCAAATTTTCTTGCCGTGTTTTTCACACTTGATGACGATTGCTTGTGTTGCAGTCGAAACGTCGTGATAATTGTATTGTTTTATATATTTTTATTATTTTATTGTTTCCCTTCTACGTGACTTCACTAACTATTTTTATTATGTTGTTTTACCAGGTAAGGACCCACTGAGATCTATAGCTCTTTTCCCAGAAGCGACCTGTTCGTGTCACGGGTGGCACAGTCGGGTTTCTTACAATCGGGTTTAATTGTCTTTTTATATTA